AAAGTAAAGACTTTCATTCTGGAAATAGTGTTGTAAGTCAAGGTCATGGTACAATACATCTGATTTGAATTCTTCTCAAAGAGTTGGTAAATCCTAGTAATTCCTCGATACAAGTAATAATGATTTGGAATTTGATTATCTTGAACAAATTCTCTCCATTTAGCTTTAGGAGTTACTGAAAATTAAACCAGTTCTACTAGATAGTAACAATATACCAAAGTCATAATTCTATTATGAGAATTCATAGCAGTTTGTAGTTGTTGATATACATGTTGAACAGAAACTTCTCATGTATGGTTTAGATTATAAGGTCTATCAATTTGTCTTATGGTGTAACTTCCAATTCTAATTAAATCTGAGTAATATTGTGACATTTTCTATATGTTTAAGTTAATTAAATGGTACTTTGGAAAAAGGAAAATTCTCTGAGGGGTTGGTAGTTTTATAGAAAATAAGGTTACGCCGTTAGCTTGTTTGGATGGTATTATGTTACTCAATTGTAATTTGTGGTACCCAAGAATCTCTATCATTATATCTTTTCAATAGTGAGCCATTAATTGGTGCTTTTAGGACTTTTCCATCTAAGGTTCTCAATTTGTACACACCAGGATGTGGTACTGTATGATACCCTTATACACTTAATTTAAAAAGATTTATTATTAATAACTCCATTAGATCGCCATTATTGTATCAACAGCCATTATTATACCATTATCACTTTTGTCCTTTCATTTTTATCAAACTTAACACTGTCATTGAGCGCGCAAACTTTAAATAAATATATCTTTTATTATTGTTATTTTTTTTTTTTAAAAAAAAAAAAGAAATTAAAATAAAAAATATTTAACAGCATCTATAAACCTGAATATACATCTGTCTCCTGCAAACACGATTCCAAGAGAAGAAGAGATAAGTATAATTTGTTAAAAAAATTAAGCTAAAAATATTTACTGAACCTATCATATTTTTAATATTTCTGTTATAATCATCAATATCTTTAACATTTCCATCGATGCCACCAATATGTTCATTGTTTCATTGTCTTTAATATTTGTCATGTTTGCAATTTTTATTGTTATATCTTGGAATTTTTTTTTCAAGATCTAATTCTCATTTTAGAATTGCTAATTTCTGATTCACCAGATTGTCAATCATAAAAACGAACTCTATTATACACAAAAAAAATAATGCTTCGATCGTTATTTAATGACAATTTTGGGTTCTGTTCTGCTAGACAGAATTATTTTGCCATAAATCCAATACATGAACGATTACTTTCTCATACAAATGAAAAAACGAATTCATTTCAAATTAATTAAATATTGGATTATTAGATCACTAGTAAATTCCGTAATGTCAACAAGTTAGATGAAGTATAACGTTTTAGCATATTTACCCAAAATAAGTTTTATTAATACCATAATCTTTTAAATTTTACTGAATATTTAACCGATATTTTTAACAAACACTTTATCATATATTATTTATTATTTCATTTAAACTCATATGGGCATTAATATTTCCATTTTTTTTTGCTTTATTTAGCCAGTAGATAGCATTTACAATATCTCGTTTTGTTCCACGTCCTTCATAAAAGAATCTTCCAACCTTGTTTTGACCGTAAACATAGTTAGATTCTGCAGCTTTCTTATACCATTCAAATGCTTTCACTTGATTCTCATTAACCTCATAACCATTTTGATAACAATTTCCTAAATAATACTGAGCTCTAAATTCTCCCTTTTCTTCTGCCTTTATAAACCATTTAAATGCTTTTTGATAATCTCTTTCCACACCTATACCATAGTTATAACAATCCCCGACATTCAATATTGAATTAACATTTCCAGAAAGAGCAGATTTCATATACCATGGAAATCCTCTAGTTGCATCTTTTGGTGTTCCTATTCCGAATCTATAACACCAAGCAACTCTATTTTGTGCTACAAGAATTCCTTTCTCCGCAGATTTTAAGTACAATTTAAATGCTTTTTCTTGATTTTTTTCATCACCAAATCCATGCCTATAACATTCTGCTACTTCAGTTAATGTTATAATATAGGACCCTTCATTAGCAAGTTTAGAATAAATCTGATACGCCTTATTTGCATCCATTTCAATGCCTATGCCCTTACGAAACATATCTGCAAGAATCATGGTTCCAATTTCTTTGTTGATATTGCTTAGTTTCCTTAAAAATGAGGGATTAGAGGGTGAAGTATCAATTATGTCATTAGCAGCTATACTAAAGGGCTTGAATGCCATTTGGTAATCAATAACGGTCCCAATACCATTCATGTAAAAAAATCCTATCATACTAGTGAACCAAAAGTTCGATGGATGACTAATCATTCTAATCATTTCATATAAAACTTTAGCTGGATTCTTTTTATGATTTTTAATCTAATCTTTCATCATAATTGGTTGCACACTGTCAAACTGTTTTTTAATGATATCAAAAAATTTTTCAAATAAATCCTTAATTAAAACTTCAATATCGGCTGACGTATCAACAAAGGGAGGAACTCTAAGTTCTTCATTTTGCCTTAATAAAGAGAATTTTATATATAATCAATGTTTTCTAGGATTCAAGAACATGTAATGTACAATGCAAAAAAATATTATGTACATATTTAGCTTTTCCAATTTAACGGAAGTTTTATTTTCAAAACTTGCATCGTCGGTAATGATTTCGGAAAGATTTTTAACCACTTGAAAAATGTCAGGTCTTAAATTTAAATCGTGCTTCCAGCAATCTGTAAAACAGAATAGATTTAATTTATATATTAATAAATATATGTAATTTAATTAATTTTTATAAATTATACCAGTATATATTTCTTTGAATTTAGGAGGTGTTCCAGGTATAACCATTTCTCTTTTTCCTTTTACAATATTATTTAACAAATCAACGTTTGACAAAGATTCCATTTCGAAAGAAGAATTGTCACTGGAAATTTCCCATAGAATAATTCCCAAATTGAAATATCTGAACTGTTATTTTTACCAATTGTGTTAATTCCTAAATATTGAGGGTCAATATTTTGAATTGGGCCAAGAGTATTTGTAAGGAGTCTTAAAGATTCAGGCAATTTTCGTCATTCCAAAAACATTAAATTTAGTGATTTCATCATGAATAAGAATATTTTCAGAATTCTAATTAAATTATAAAATAAAAGAAATTAAAAATAATTCATTCTTGTAATTAATTTTTATAATTGAAAATAATTACCAAATTTCCATGAATAATATCATTGGAATGTAGAAACTTCAAAATATTGGCAATTTGTTTTGCAATATTTAATTTTGCACTCCAATCCAGTTTTTGGAAATTTATTTTTAAATATTGACGAAAAGAGCCATTATTAGCATATTCGAGAATAACCATATAATTATTTGTGTTCTCTACAAAAATTATTAATAAATAAATAGATGAATAATTATTTATAATAGTATTGAAATTTAAATATTTTAGATATTACCTTGTTTGATAATTCCATAGAATCTAAGAATACTATTATGAATTTCTAATTTTCGATTTCTTTTAATCTTTTTCAATTAAAAATAATAAAAATAGTAAAAATATTTAAATAAAAGAATAAAAAAAAGTTCATAAACTTACTTTATTTATTAAATTGTCCAGCGTAAATTTGTCATTTAAAGAAATACATTTAAGAGCAACAGTCTTTTGAGAAGTTTTAAAAGTGGCTTCATGAACATTTTCACTAATTAATTTTACATTTTCAAATTCAGAATATTGATAAAATTGGATATTTCCTTTTTGAAGAGTATCTTCAATAATATTGTCCATCCAGACTTCCCATTCTTTTTCTCTTGCGTTTTCTTGGGACATGATTAAATGGAGAGAATATTCATTTTAAATGGAATTAGCCAATTATAGATCGTATTCATTTATTTTGGAATTGGCGTACTTATTTGTTTTGAATTTACTTGTGTCACAATTAGTAATCGAAATTTTATAATATTGAGGTAGCACGAAAACGTCCTAAACTATTTGGATGAAATTATCCTTGTGCGTCGCACATCATCCTTCATCCATGATGAAAGATAGTATCCTCGTGTTTATGGATGATGGTGGATGAAAGTAAATAATGGGAAGATATAAAAATAGCTGCGAAAAGGAAGAAGAAAGAGAGATTCCTTTTGGCGAAAAATCATATTTTCTTTATAATTTAGTAATAATAAATAGTTTCGAAATAAAAATTTAATAATAATAAAAATCCCAGGACGTCTCTAATACGTTTCGATGTAAGAACAATAATAAAAATCCCAGTACGTCTCTGACATTTTCTTAGTAGTAACGAAATTATTTTCTTTTATTTTGTTTATTAATAAAATTTTGGCACCAACAAAATATTTCTTTATTCTTTCGTTTCTGTAATAATTTCGATAATTTAGTGTAATAGGAAAACATAGTGGTAAGATACGCCAAAGCAGTAATATATCGCTATTGTCATACTTCTACAATAAGCTTTAATAAAATTTTAATAAACTATTTTGATATTTCTTGGCAAAGTTACATCATAAAGTCTGTTTCAGAAGTGTGCAAGTAGTTGTTAAAGATACTTTTACTCCACTTGCTCATCGTACCTTCAGATCATACACGTAATTACATAATTCGCAACTGTTAGGTTTAGATCGACTGATTGCCTGATCTTGCTACGTCGCGAGGATAAAAGTGTTGTTAGTAAGCAGGTTTAGATCGACTGATTGCCTGTTCTTACTACGTCGCGAGGACAAAAGTATAGCAAGTAAAATATTGCGTCGCGAAATAAAGTTCGAGACTGATTGGCGTAACTTTCCACCTCGTTCTGCACAGACCGTGACACTACTCTTTATTTAGTTTAAAAATAAGTGCATTACATTATATTTTATTGAATAAAAAAGATTAATAATATATTAGTAATAGATTGGGTAATATCCAATTGACCTAATCTATAGTTCTTTTCAGTTTCAACTTTTTTTGATTTCAGACATATCTAACCAATGATCTTTACCATTCCAACTATTTCTTTTTATTATTATTATTATTTTTTAACATCATCCTTTTGTTGTTCTTTTCCATCTTTTCCATCTTTTCCAACTTTTCCAACTTTTCCATCTTCTTGCTTCTTCGAAATATTAAGACTTTTTAAACAAAAATCAATTATTTTGCTTTCAATATTTCCAAATAATACTCCATTACTTAGACAATGATCATCGCCTTGTAAAAGTAAAAGTTCTTTACGATCTTCTGGAACCGTAGCATGGGCATAAAGACTTTCGGAACAATACGAATTTAGAGTAGTATCCTTTGTACCATGTATGAATAATATAGGCTGGGTTAAGCGACTTACTTCTTTAAGGGCTCCCGCAGTCTAAAATAAATATAAAAATGAAATAAATAAAAAAATATAATATTAAAATTATAAAAAAAAAAAATAAAAATGTTATTTTACCTGAGAAGCAATTGTAACTAAACCCAAAACCCTTTTCTCATTAACCGCTGCTCGAATTACTACCGCTCCACCAAAACTCCATCCAATTAATATATTATCTTTAACTCCATAATTATTTTCTAACCAATTGATTGTAGCTGTAACATCATGAACGCATGGATCCATCATGGCAGGTATTCTAAAATCCATTCGAACCGTGTAACAACCAAAATTTTGAGCAATTTTTTCGGCCAATGTTGTATATAAACTTGTAGGACCCGTCACCCCACCTCCAGCTCCAGAAATTAATAAAATAGCGGAAGGCGGTGAGTGAACTTGAACTTGATTAGGGCGATGAAATATAACAGGTACAGTGTGATCGATAATATCAGGAACTTTAATATTTTCTTGTTTTTCGATATCAATGCGAGAATCCATTTTTTTTTGTTTGAATAAATGAAAATTTATTTAATTTATTCATTATTTATAATATTTTAATATTTTATAATAACTATTTTATATTATTTATATATTGATTTTATATTTATTTTTATATTATTTAATACCAAATTTATAAATTATTCAATTATTACAACAATAGGAATTCAATGACTACTTTTTTTTTTTTACTTTTTTAGAAATGAAATGAAATTTAAATACTCCGTACATATAATAATAAATAAAATAATAAATATAAATAAAACATAATATTGAATCATGATTTCGTCATATCATCTTATCTAATCATTATATAATTAAGTAATGGAATTTATTTATCTTTATAAATTGACTATTGGTTTCTATTTACAGTTCAAAGTCTATCATGTGATTTGTAGTTATTGTAAATTTTGTATATATTTTATTTTTTATCAAAATAATTTCGCATGGGATCTTCATATCTGTAAAAGCGAAGCGAAATTAGTGAAAAACGTAAATGTAGATAATAATAATAATAATAATAATAATATATAATATAATTATATATATATATATATTTTTACTTACGATTGTTTTTTCAATCTATAGGCTTCCAATTCTTCTTCTGTCACTTCACTATTAGATTTATCCTTTTGATTCATATAGGCACTATTATAAGGTCGCTTTCGATCATCCGTTTCCGGTAAACTTTTATTTCGTTTCTCTTCATCTTCTAACGCTTTCCTTAATTTCTTCTTGTCTAATTGAATATCACCTTCTCCAAGATTTTTACGTTTAAGATGTTTGTTTGCATCTTCACTCACATTATCCGCATTTAAATTATATTTCTTCTTTTCAATTTTTTCTGTATGCATATCTAAAAGAGATTTCTTTTCATATCCTCCATTCCTATCATCATCATTATCATCTTCATCATTATTATCATCTTCATCATATCTATCACGAACAGAAGATCTTAATAAATTGGATGAATTCGCTGCTTCAATCCCTGCAAGACCTGTACAATATGAATTTTTAATGAATGATCGACAACATTTGTAACCCCAATTTCCATCGGCCCAATATGAACCCCAGACCGAGGTATGATTATTAAGGAAAACTAAATAATTGGTAAATTTAAAAAAAATATTAGGTAATTTTAGGAAATATTTAAATTTTAGCAAATTTTTATAATACACCTACCATCTTCTTCATATTTTGATTTAGCTTTGGCTCTTTCTTGACCTTTAATAACTCTTCCTGTTCTAGAGTATTCCACGTAATTCTCAGTTTGAGCTAATAGTAATTCTTTTGGAGGTACATTTAAATGTTCTTCTCCCCCATATTTTGCCAAAATTGAATCTTTACTGGAATCTTTTAGTTTTTCCTTTTTCTGAAGGTATTCACGATGCAATAATTCTCCTTGGGTAGGATTTGCTTGTAAATGAACATCGGTACCCTTTTCATATGCTTGCCAGGCGAAAAGTTGCAAATTTGCCATTTTTGGTGCATCCCCACTATATCTCACAAAATTATCCCCAGCAAAAGCAACCTAGAAAAATTTAAAGATATACTATTATTATCAATTATTATCAATTGTTATCAGTTATTATCAATTATTATTTCAAATTTTTAAATTACAACAAATCAAGTAACAAAAAAAAATATATGTACATCTTCCGGATTGTCATCTTTGGTTGGATTATCACGCATCGATCGAGTTTTAGGATCATAGTATGCAGAATCAATATCTAAATTTCTCAAATACTTGGCTGTATCTTCCCGAATTCTAAACAATATCATGAGAGAGAGAGAGGATTTTTTTTTTAATATAAATAATACTATAAGTGTTAATATGAAAACAAGATTATGAATTTTTATTACCTCAAATTTCTAATTGTAGTTCTTGTTTTGGTATTAACTTTTTGTCCAGGCATATCTGATGTTTCCGCATATTTGTCTTCATCATCCACTTCTTCATCACTAGAAAATTCTCCAGTGTTACGCTCACCAGTTTTCTTTACTAGTTCTGTAGTACTCTGTTTGTCAAGCTCACTTGCCTTTAATTTACGGCGAGCTTCTTCAATTTTTTCATATTCTAATTATTTAATAATAATAATTCATTTATTATTATTATTTTAGAAATTATTCACTATCATTATTATTATTATTCATAACCCACATTTATAATTGCTTACCATCATAAATTTTAGCATGCTCAGAAGCGTCATAACCATTCCATCGATCTCTTTTCGAATCATAATCTAATTCGATTTCTTGAATAATTTCATCAGGCTATAATTTATTAATTTTATTATTTAACTAAAATTTATATTATGATGAACGTGAGTGACAATAAATGAATGAATAAACAATACCTGTATATTTTGTCCTGACCATTTAGCTCCTAATTTCCTTGGACGTTCCATACAATTATTTGTTTTATGTGTCTTTGCTCCACAATTTTCACATGCACCTTTTCGAAATTTGGTTGAAGCTGGTCCCTAAAAAATTAAATTTAATAATTATTAATTTTAATAACAATAACAATAATAATAATAATTATTAATTAAATTTCAATAATTTCGTATTGGAAAGAATAGATACCGCTCGTAGACCACGCGCGTACCAAGAATCAACTTTTTTTTCTTTTTCTTTTTCTTCTGTTTCGTTTTGAAGTCTTTGATGTTTCAAAGTTGGTCTTCCGGAGTCAAGATACCCTAAAAAAAATTTAATTTGAAAAAGATCAATATTGAGTTTTAATATATTCAAATAAATTTCCTTGATTAAAAAAAAATCATTTCTTACATGGTGCCTTGGCTATATATTGCGGAATATGAGGGTTAATATCTTTTCCTTCTTCATCTTGTTCAGCAGGAGCTGTCCCGGCTTTTCTTGCTGCTTCAAGATCTTTTTGACGACGATAGTCTTCTCGACTTAATTTGTTACCTTTTGGATTAAAAAAACCCCCCACGAATAATTAATTAAAGATCGTCAAAGAACGACAAATATTGAACGCGATGAGAAAGTAACAAAAGTAACATACTTGAGGTGAAAGAAATACTTGACATTATCGAAGTAAGATTGATCGATCGAGTTTTTATTACAGTTCAAAGTAATTTTTATATAATTTACAAATATCACATTGCCCATTTAGTCACGAAAGATTTTCATTCAATGTGATATTCCAAAGTGATAATCTTTAATGTTTTTCGATTAAGATTTTTTTTTTTTTTTTTAAAAAAAAAAGGGAGAACGAATTTTTTCTATAAAAAAAAAATATATATATATATATATGGCTTCATCGTCAGATTCGGTTTCGGTGATTATCGGAATTAGAATAGGTCAAAGTTATTCGAGTATTGCCATAATTAATAAGGTATTAAGTTAATTCTTAAATAATAAATATAAAAAAAAAAAGTTGCGAGAATTTCAATTTTAATGCTCATTTTCAAACTTCCCCCCAAAAAAAGGACGGGAGAGCAGACTGCATAGCTAACGAAGATGGAGAAAGACAAATACCAACAATGGTAGCTTTTTCTGGAGAAGAGGAGGTAATTTATACAATATAAATTATTATTATAAATAATTTCTTTTTATTCTTTGAATTTCGAATTTATTCTTTTGAATTTATGATTTTTAGCTTACGGGAACTCAAGCACGGGTTCAATTGCTAAATAACCCAAAAAATAGAATCACACAATTTCGTAATTTCATCGGAAAAAGGTAGATTTACATTGATCGATGGTGATTATATCCGTTGAATCTTTATTTATTTTAATATGATATTTATGAAATACTTAATTTTTTGATCTTTGTTATTTTTATTCATTTTTGTCAGCTTTGATGAATGTAAATTATCAAGTGGAACGGCTCAATTGGTTGATAAAGATGGTGAGCCTGCATATTTAGTAGAATTCAAAGGACAAGAAACAATTTTTACAGTTAAAGAAATTACTACAAAATATATTGCCAGTCTTCGTGAAAGTGCGGAAAACTTTTTAGGTCAACCTGTTACAGGTTCTGTTCTAGGAGTTCCTACTTATTTTACTGAACAACAACTTGAAGCATTAAAAATAGCTGCCGAAAATGCCGGATTATGTGTTTTACAGTTAATCAATGAACCTTCAGCAGCAGCATTAGCTTATGAATTAGGACAACAACAATTGACAGAATTAGATAATAAATATCAAGATAGTACTGTTATGATATTTGATTTGGGTTCAGATAGTCTTGATGTGACAATTTTGTCTATTCGTTCAGGAATGTATACAATATTAAGTACTACACATGATCCGGAGTTGGGAGGTGCCGCGTTTGATGAACTTTTGGCGAATCATTTTGCCAATGAATTCAAACGCAAAACAAAAATTGACGTATTACAAAATAAACGAGCAATGGATAAATTGAGAAATGCAGTCGAAGGTACAAAGAAGACTTTGTCGAGTAGTAATATGTCTCCATGTTCAATTGAGTCTTTAGCCGAGGGAATTGATTTACATGGATCAATTAATCGAACTAGATTTGAAATTATGGCAAATAAACTCTTTAATAGAATCATGGAAGTTATAACTAATACCCTGGAAAAAAATGACTTGGAACCTCAATTTATTAATGAAGTATGTAATAAAGAAGTCTTTTTATTACAGTTTTTATATTCTTAAATGTTTTCTATTATTTATGTGTTTGATATAAACTAACCAGTAGTACATTTTGAATTAATTTTAAAATATTTTGAATTTAAAAGGTAATTCTTGTTGGAGGTGCATCACGTATTCCAAAACTTCAATCCAAACTTCGGGAATTATTTATAAATCAAAGTACTATCATTCGACAAGATTTTGAACCGGATGAAGTAGTTGCTTATGGATGTGCTTTTCAAGGAACCTTGCTAGCTAGTATAGATGATGAAATAATCAATAATAGTATTAAGACTATATCTTCATCACATTTGTCAAAACCTATTGGTGTAATAAACGCTAAGAAGGAATTTGTGACGATTATACCAGAGAATACACCTTTACCGGTTCGCCGTACATACACATTTTCAAATATATCAGCTAATCAAAAAGAAATTTATGTTGAAATATGGGAAGGAGAATATAAAAAAGTTGATGCTGCATCATCTCATCAAGCTACATTTAAAACTGATAAAATTGTAAACAATGAAGAAGGTGATAATATCTTGGAAAAGAAAGTATCACCCAAACAATTGTCTCCTATAATAACTCCAGGTAAATTAATAGCTGAATTGGTGATAAATGATTTACCTTCGGGAAAGGAAGAACAACTTAAAGTTGAATTCATCATAGAAGTTGATGACAATAATAAATGTACCATAATAGCAAAGGAATCAACAATAAAAAAGCTTGAATTTGTGATTGGTGCATAAGTTATAGATTATTATAGATTATATTATTGAATGTAAAATAAAACAATTCATGCAATAAAACTTTTGTTTTTTAGATTAAATTTTTACGGTAAAATGCTGTTTTCAAAAAAATCAGCCATTATTGTACACTTCAATTAATTGTTAATTAAATATAATTAATCGTTAATTAAGATATTTTATTTACAATACAAAAAATTTTAATATTCTTAATTGTAATAATACTGTCATTATTTTTTTACTTGTTTTACTCAATCACATGATATCATTTTGGATCGCTGTTTGTTTCAACGTTACAAATCTGGAAATATAATGAATACATATTCATCACGCGCTCTCACATTTTGCTCCCAAATAATAAAGCTAACTTTTTTGGGGATCTTTTATTTTTGATAATCCAGTCAGAAGACATTTGGCAAATTCAATTCTCCCCTGTATTACCTCCAAAAATTGGTTCGTTTCCTAAGAGGTTGCTCGTACTTACTCACGAGACATCTAAAAAAGGAAAGATAATTGTTGAATTATCTATATAAAGAAGTTTAGATCTATGAAATATTATAAAAAAATATTAATTAATAAAAATAATAAAAATGTGTTTTTCTTGTTTAAGACCTCAACTACCAGATTATGAACCTAATGATGTTATACTTGACGCGGCGTATGTATCTTTGCTGTGAACGCGTTCAATTTTTTATTATTATTCAATTTAATTGGATAATTTTCTCACTATATATTATGAATGGAAATATTTAACAGAAAATTAGGACAGAAAAAATATATTCGTGGAACGCTAATTCCTCTCATACGCAATACGCTTTCAGGTTGGGAAGATATCACCAAAGAATCTCATATTGATATCGAAAGAGTAAGCGGTGCTCTTACTAATTTCGTATTTTTTATCACAAAGAAATTACAAAATGGTAACCTTCAAAAAGTTCAAAAAGTGGTATTGCGAATATATGGTAATGGCGTTGATCAGCTATTTGATCGTGAAAAAGAATTACGTTGTTTAGAAATGTTGTCAATTGTTGAATTTGGTCCCCAATTATTATCCACCTTCTCAAATGGAAGGTTTGAACAATTCTTAGACAGCACCACTTTAAATTCTGATGAAATACACTTCCCTGAAGTTTCACGTCAAATAGCATACCGCTTACGTTCCCTTCATAATATTGTGAACATTTTCCCACCTAAAAAAGACACTATTCCAGAAGTCTGGATCAATGTGGATAAATGGTTTCCTTTAATAGACAAAATAAGTTATGAACAACAAATAAAATTGAACTTAAAGGATTTGGATAATGAAATTCGAGAATTAAAATCAATGCTTTCTAAACTTGATTCACCAATTGTTTTTGCGCACAATGATGTAAGTAAAATATGATTATTTTCTTTTTTAAAAAAGGATTATTTTACTTATATTAAAATAATTTTATCGAAGACTCAATACGGGAATATTCTACGACTCGACGATGGATCTAATCAATTGGTGGTCGTAGATTTCGAATATTCCGGATATAATTACCGAGGATTTGATCTTGCCAACCACTTTTGTGAGTGGATGTACAATTACCATGGGCAAGACTCACATGTGGCACACATTTCATGGTACCCAACGGAAAAACAACAAATTAATTTTTTAAAGGCATATTTGGAAGCCAAAGACGACAAAAACAATAACAACAATAACAACAATAACAACAATAACAATAATAACAACAATAACAAATCACCCCAAAGTCAAAAAATAATACTACAAAAAATGCTACTAGAATGTGATGCTTTTGCACTGGCAAGTCATGTAATGTGGGGTCTTTGGGGAATAATCCAATCATTTCAATCTGACATCGATTTCGATTATTTCGCATACGGTGCCGAGAGATTACAAATGTTCCGAGACTCCAAAGACAAGATTTATAATTCGATAAACAATCATTTTCATGATCAAGTACATGAATAGATTTCATAAAATAGAATATAATTTCTTGCATCATTTGACAATTATTTTTTTTTTATTTCATTTATTCTTTTCATTGAAAGAAAACTTTCTCAATTTAGAATCTTCATCATAATAATCTTTAATAATGTATAAATTCTTAGAATTAGATATGTATGTTTATTCAATCATTTTCTTAATGAATTATTAATAAAATGAATACAATAAAGTCATTCTATAATATATCTATTTTAAATGCGATTGACACGTGATTTTGCAAATGCGACGATCAATTTTAGACACGTTCTACATACGCGTCCAAAATCCCGAACTACGCCAATTGCCGCAATGTCCACAATGTCGGAAACTTTAAAAATGTCAAAAACGGAAAATTACTGTGGTTATACGTGTAAGTTTTAATTTACACTTTCCCGATATTTTTAATATTCTAAATTTTCTTTCAAGTTACTTATTAACAACAAATTTCTTTAGCTGTTTGTTCGTATATAAAACAATCTCAAGACGAGTGTTCTTTCAGTCAATTTTTAGACCTTTATCAAGAAATAATTATAAAAGCTCCACCAAATCCTAAGAAATGGAATAGTTTAGAAGTAGTTTGGAAAGGAAGATTTTTAAAGGCCATAAAAGAAGTTATTCCAGATAAATATGATGATATATCAGCAAAGGTTCTACATTTTATTTATTTTCAAAAAAAGGAAGCTTCCTATGTTATTCAATTATCACACTGTTCCAATTTTCAAAACTTTTGAAGTTACTATTTAGACTTGCTTTTTATATTTTTTCTTTTGTAATAGGTGGAATTAGAGACGTCAAAAAGGTCCTTAATGAATTATTGGCAAAATATTCTTATTGAAAAAAAACGAGTGAGTTTATATATTTATTTACTTGCTTGTTTAATGTTACTTATTTGCTTGTTTTATTTTAAAGTTATATATTATAAAATAGATAACTGTATTCAATAATCACACATATTCTAGCCTAAAAATATTGAGTAAGACAGCTAAAATTAGTGCAAATATGATTCTTTCAAAATTTTCAAAGGAGGTAAAGTTTGAACAATCTAAAATTTCTAAAATATTTTATATAAAGTAATCTTTCTAACTGAAAAAAATTTTTATAAGTTTAATCAAGTTGAAAATGAAGAGGCTCATAGTCTAGGAAAACATAAAGTTGGTGATTATTTGTCAGAAACTGAGACTAATGAGACTCAACGAAAGAAAAAGAAGAGATTACAAAAGGAAAAGGGTGATGAACAATCAACCAATGGTGAACTTGATGAAAAAGATGAATCCGAAACATCTGATTCGGAAACATCACCTATGGATCAAAGCTTGAAAAAATTTGAAACAGCTTATTTATCCTTGGATCAAGATCGCATGTGGACATTGGAGAGTGGTCGAAAGGTGGAAGAAGTCATTTTTAATCATGCAAAAAACCTGAATGAAGAATCATTATTACACTCGTTCGTAATTAATGATAGTGATAAGGATGTTCAATCATTGTTTACTGATGATGAGTGGTTTGAGATTATTACCTCGGAAGTTAAGGCTAAACCAAAGCTTGAACATAATGTCAAAGAATTAATGAAAAAGTACACTCTTGAAGATGTCAAGAAATTACAAAAGGTTGTTTTTGAATCATATTTATCTGAAGAAGAAGAATACGATCAGGATATTCAATTTAAACTTGATTATATAAATTATGCCTATCGAGGAATGTTATTTGTATGGCAAAATGAAAAGGTTTTCGTAGATCATGAAGTGGACGTATGGAACCGCTTGATTGATCCAGCTTTTCAAAATATGGACATTAAGTTAGTACATGGGGACATGAGTTTTGCATCATGCAAACGAAAAAATGAAGCAAGAAAAGGAAAACATAAGAAAAATCTTGGTCACAAGAGTGATGGAATATTTAGATTATGCAGTAGTCATTTGGAATTTGGGGCAATTGAGGTGGAAAAAAGGTGGACAGGTGGTTATCCGTCTATTTCTTTAAAAATTTGCAAAATGCTCAAAGACATGGTGACACAACTTTCGGGTGAATGCAATGACGAGGAATCATATTTGAGACGATTACAATTAGTTGGTATTATTCATGGACCTACCAAAATTCGAACAATGGTAATGGACTGTCCCAAGGGATATATTTCACGCGTTCTACATCGTAAAGTTTGTGAAGTTTCTAACCAATTAACCAAATCCGAACCGCTTGCATCTGTGCTGAAGGAAATCTTAGTTGCCAAAGCTATTATTAATCAAACCTTAAATGTTATAAGAGAGAAGAAAAATTCTGGTTCTAAAAAAGGGTTTGAGACAAGAACCAGATCTATTTACAAAGCTTCTACTTTTAATTAATTTAATATCTTTGAATAATTTTAATTGAAATTTTAATTAAAATTTGTAAAACTTAAAAAATATGTTTTTATGCATAATTTACTTATTAAATAAATTACTATTAATCCTGTTTTATGTTTATATTCGTAAAACTGAATATATAAAAAAAGAATCTTTATTCTGACCAGTGTTTGAAATTCAATGTGCGGATGTGCGATAGCACAAAATTTGAAAACTCCGCACATGAACCGCACAAATTTTTGCATATAGAATTCTAAATTGTGTATATTCCGCAAATAATTTTTTAATAATATAATATAATTATATTATAAAATTTTAAAAATAACTAAACTTCACTTAATTGCTTGAAAGTAGTTTACTTTAATCAAGGTATTGAAATTATATTACAAAATTCTGAAGACAAAAAAATTAGTGAGTATATGTAATTAAAGAAACATTTATCATTCAATACATTTGTAAGTTAGCTTAGCAAAATCAAGATTCAAGTAATTTCATACTTTCTGAATAATTCTAGTTAGTTGTTTAAAGGTAATTTACTTTGATCAAAGTATTGAAATTATGTCATAAAGTTCCAAAGTGTAAAAAAATTCATGAGTATATGTAATTAAAAGATTTGTTCATACATCTTTATCTTGAAATTGATAATTGATTGAATAAATCTTTTCTAATATTTTTGGTAATTAAATAATTATGCTTTTTGAAATAATAAATCATCAAATAATCTTTTTCAATCTAATAATATTGCCATTGTAATTTTCTAAATTTTATGGTTAAAATTATTTGATACATATATTTACAATGTAAAGGTTATGGATGGTGGTTGTAAAATATCTTGTACAATTTGATTAGTTATTCCAAATAAATCATTTCTATTAAATTTTTTATTGATACCAATTTTTTTATTATGTACCAGATGGAATTTTATTTTCATATTAAATTATAATTTATAGTTTATAATAAACTTCAAGTATAACAAAGTATACACATATTTTCTTTGATTTTTTGTGAAATAAGAGGTTACTTTTCACAAAATCTAGTTAGAATTGAAAAAGGAAAATCCATTTGAAATGAATGTGTAAAGTAAATACTGGATAAAATATTATGTCTCTTACTAATTTGCTCACTATATAATCCTATTATTATTGATTCAAGTATTCAGTTTATTCGTTCAAAAAGTTATTTGATATAAATATTTATTATTGCAAAAGCAGATATTAAAATTTTTATACTTTTATCTTTATCAAAACAAACAAATCCTGGTCATAAGGAATTTGATAAACTTTGTAAATTGAAAAGAATAAATTGTTTGCCATTAAGTTTACTCATATAAAGATGATAAGAACAAATAAATATTAATTTTCTTGATTTTCTCTACTTTTGAATATTTTTTGAACCCATCAATTTCATGCATACACACTATAATATAAGTTAGAAATATACTCATACTGTTGTAATAAGTTAATGGGCCATGTTTACATTTAACAACATATAAAGTTTAATATTATAATACAGTGCAGGACACCTAAAGACTAAAATAAATTTTCTGTTTTTAAAAGGTAATCTAAAATTATACATAGGTGATACAAAAAAAAATAAAGCTGGTATTTTGTAGCTAGACCAATTTGCTATAAAATGCCAGCTCCTTTTTTTAAAAATAATTACTCATTATCAAGTTATAAGATTTTGAAAAGGTAGTATTTTCATATAATCAATTGTAAATGGGACATAGAATATGATCCATTTTTTTTTAAATTTACATCATCCTCCAATTGTTCTTTTGCTCTTTTGTTTCACTGTATATCTTTTCAAATGTTTTTCCTTTGTCTGTCCTTTATCCAATGTTACTTTGTACTACTAAACTAAAGAAAAAATGAACTTTAAAATCTGTATAATGACCTTGTTAAAATTACTTTTTAATAAAACATGCCCAAAAGAAAATATTCAATGTTCTATAAATATAATAATAAGTGAAAAAAAACAGTCAAGAAAAGGTGAGAAAAAAAATATATTTTAGGTGAAGAAATTCAAGAGGAATTAGAGGAATTTGACAAACAAGATAGTGACCAAGAAGAAAATATTAATGAAGAAGAAAAGATATGTATACGCTTATTTGCAACAGCCCTTGTATAGAAGAAACTAATAAAAAAATCAAGAAAAGTCAAAAATATAGTAAAATTAACTTATTATTATAAGTTTGGTACCTCTGGAACACTTGTCAAAGCTACCAAAGGAACTTCTAAAATTACAAATTTCTTTCTTTAAGTCTTCAATTTCAGCATCTTTGACATATTCAATATCTCCAGTATCTCTAGAATATTCAAATTTGACAAAATTAGATGATATTGAAAAAACAATAAGAAAGGAAATGAAAATAATAATAAGGATAACAATAAAAATAACAATAAGAATGACAATGAGGATAATTATGAGAATGATGATGAGAATGATAATAAAGATGATGATAAGAATAATGATAAGGATGATAATAAAAATGGCAATAAGGATAGCAAGAATGATAACAATGATAATGATAAGGATGATAATAAAGACAACAATGAGAAAGTACCTATTTCATTTGGTGATATAATTGTTGAACTTTGGAAAGATCTCCTAAAAAATGGAAAAACAATTAAAGCCTTTAAATATAATAAATAATGAGCTATTTATAAATATTTTATATATTTATATTATAATCATGAAAAAATGAAGGCAAGTAAAAGTGCAACAAATATTGTTTACATTTTCCCAAAACTATACACATGTCAAAAGATCTACTTTCTTGATAAATTTTATTTACAATATAGATCTTTCCTATTTTCTATTGTGAACAACATCAAAAATGTAACTGATTAGTTGATGTTGAGGATATTACATTAAAATACAAACAATGGATATGGAAAAATTTATGGGTAAATAGTATTAATCTGTTACAATTTAAAGAATATATTCATAATGTTATTTTATCAAAATATGTGAATGAAGCAAGAACATCAATTAATCTGCAAATGGCAAAGAGGTGATTAAACATTTTAAAATGTAAATTTGAAAAATATAAAAAAAGAATGTTTCTTAATAGTTATGAACAAGAAGATGTTATCAAATACTAGAATATATTTTTAGAAGAAATAAAGAATTTGGAATATCAAATGACAAAGTATAAAAGAGAATTTATGGAGTTAATTCTATCAATACTTGAAGCAGGTGAGCAAGAATTAATTCTTGTTACTCACGATGAAAGCATTTTTTTATTTCTTATAAGAAATATACATATTTAAAAAATACTTAAAATATATTTAAAATATATTTAATTATATTTGTGATAATTTACTTAAAATATTATTAAAACATATTTAAAATTAAGCATATTTTAAGTATATACTTAAAACATACTTATTCATTACCTAAATTAAGTATTTTTTAAATATATTTTAAATATATTTTAATTATAAAATAATAATATTTTAAATAGTCTTTTAGATACTTAAAAAATATTTAATAAAATATATTTTGAATATATTTTAAATATTGTAGTTTTTATAGGGATTTCAATAATAGAAAAAGAAGGATTTGAATATTAGATGAGAAGATACTACTACGTAAGAAAGGAAATGGAAAATTGATTATGGTGAGTGAATTCCTTTCAGAGGCATATGGTTGACTAAAATTAAATGAAGAAGAAAAAAAAATTACCTACTGGTTCCTGCAGGAGCATACTGTTATCTAAAATCTAATAAAAATTAAGAAAATTATTGAACAATTAAACATTTAATAGAGCAAATTAAAATGAAGGCCATATCTATTTTTGAAACAAAATTCCCTAATGCAATTGTTGTATTTGCCTTTAACAATAGCACTAACCATGCAGCATATGTGGATGTTGCTCTTGTGGTACAAAGAATGAACCTAGGTTCTGGAGGAAAACAACGTGTAATGTGTTTAATAACTTTTATTAATTTTGATAGACAACAGAAAGATTAGAAAATGGTATTCAAAGATAATTATCAGGATCTAAACTTACAAGGAATGCCAAAAGGAATAAAACAAGTATTAATGGAAAGAGGACTTTTGAGAGATGAGTTAAATTTAGATTATCAGATATGTAAAAAAAAGAAGATTCACAACAAAATAATTACTGCTTAAGAAAAATTATGACCTCTCAACCAGATTTTGTAATCCAAAAGTCTGCTGTTGTAGAACTTATTGAAGGTACTAGTCATTTATATATTTTTTATCCAAAGTTCCATTGTAAACTTAATTTTATCAAAATGTATTGGGGAGCTGCTAAAAAGTATACTAGAGATTATTGTGATTATACATGGTCCAATTTGCAAAAAACTATTTTATGAATACTGGACTCAGTAGACATTGTTACAATTAGAAAATTTGCACAAAAATTGTGATGATATATGGAATTATATCATGAAGGATTGACAGGAAAATTAGCCAAGTATACATGCAAGAAATTTAAGTCTCATAGGTGAATTCCTCAAAATGAATTGGCTTTATTTATACAGGAAATTAATAATTAATAAGCAAAAAAATTTTATTGATATTATGATTTATAAAAATGTATAAAGTGATTAAAGTAAAATAAATTCAGCCTTCACACATATGATGTCGTATCATGTGACAGGTTTTTTAAAATGTCATAAATTGTGTTTTTAAATAATTTTAAAAATTTTCAATTTAACAACAAAAATGGAACAGATCATATGATTTTAGTCTTTAGGTGTTCTGCACTGTATAAATTTCAGCAATTAGATCAAAAATTTAACCTTAGAATTTTTATTAGAATTTACTATTTCTAAGTACCAACCTTATTTAATAAGTGTTTGGTATAAATATTACATATGTTTGTTAAAACTATTAAATATAATCAAAATTAAGAAAAATTGAAATTGGATTATATGAAATTAAAACTTTTTGAATTTTGACATATATAATATTTCAACCTGTGTCATGTCAGTTTATATAAGTTTTTAGTGTTTCCTTGATTTTGACAATAGAAATTTGACAATTATATTCTTTTTTATAGATGTATCTCCAGGTTTATTAAACAATTTTTTCATAAAGATATATTTTAAATTTTATTAAACATATTCTAAAATATTATACTTGGTTTGTACCTTGAAGATACTATGAAAACTTTTGGAATAGATATATATGTATATAAAAGTAAATATATATGTGGAAATCCCTTATCCTGACCTCAACCTATTGGCTCGGACCACCTAATCACGAAAACTTTTTTTAGTTATACGTATCATATAAGTCAGGTGACAAAAAGGTGCCAAAATTTAAAAAAAAATGTGATGTCATTTATTATTGTTATTTTTACAATTCATCAAAAATACTTTAAGGAATAGTAAAATGCCTTTTATATTTTTTTACTGAGCTCTTGATCTGCCCAAATGATTTCTAAATCGTTATCTGAAGAATCATTACTGGAAGAATTATTATTAAAAGAACTATCACTGGAAGAAATAAACTTTTCTTTTTTCTCTTACGCGAAATCTTCAATTAATGATTTTTTTTTTTGTTTTGAATGCCAACCCATTTTTATCATTAAAAATATATATATTAAAAATCACATTTTATATAATTTTTTCGTAACAAATTTCAGATGCCAAAATTTAAAGTTATCTACATATAATATTTTTTAGTCACGTTTATACTCATTTATTATTTTAAAGCTCAGGTCCCAAGCATTCAAAAAATGAAGAGATTTTTTTAAACAAAGTTCCTTTTATGGAAAATAACAGGTCGAAATTAAGTAAAAAAGTGGTTGTCCAAGCCAAAAAAGACCCGAGATATTCGCCCATAATTCGCAAATAAATATTGTTCGAGAGGTGTGACATACAATAATAGATACACATCTAGACTCCCCACTTTAGGTTTAATACAACTTTTTTTTAGTTAAGTTTTCCCATGATTATACATGGCTTGATATATCACAGAAATAGCGTTTAGAAATCATTGTGATAATATTTATATTATGTGTTACTATGCACACTTTCTTGATTCGATACAATTCTATTATATCTGAAATAAATTAGATTTTTCCAACTATTTAACTTTCTAAAACCTGTGGGAAAAAACACTACAGAAAAGCTTAATTAATTTTATTTGCTATCAAAGAAAGCCTTAAATGTTTCTTGACTTCTTCATTGAACTACTGTATTAATAAGAGTTTCAATATCAATTAAAAATATAGATATTGTTATCCAAGTTTTGCATCGATTTATTTGATCTATTTATAATTACTGATACAATAGTTGTTTTTTTCACAATTATTTATAACTTATTTTTAGACTTTCCCATTTGAATTTTTTCTCGTTTGTATCACGTTACTTCCCATTGTTACCGTTAAAGTCTTACAAAAGATCTACAAAAGATAGATATATTCGTCAATTTGAATTACAAATTAATTTTTTTTCTTATATTATTTCCCTGGGGTTAACAACACAATGGTCTCGCTCTCAATGATAAATAGATTCGTATCTAACCTATTTTATCACCACGCAAAGTTTTGCGCTTCTCATTATATCTCCGTAATTATTCTTTCAATCCTTGTAGTTTTGCCATTATGTTATCCTGCATTCGACTTGTATTGTCTAAACCTTTCAAAAGTTAAAAATCAGCCTTTCTTCTGGGAAGAATCTTCTTCGTCCAGTTCAGCTGTTACGAAACACATCTCTTTGGAAAAACGTGAAACGCAGCCTTCATTTCGTGTGCAGCAGGTTATAGTTCAAACTACTAGTTTGAAGAATTATAATAATCATGGTGTATTGAATAAAGACCTATTACTTTGGACTATGAATCTGCACAATAAAATTGCAAATACTATTGTAGTACTTCCTAATGATCCCTCTGGTTCCAATTCTTTTCCCAAAGAGTATACTCTTCTGGATTTTTGTTTAAAACCCTCTGGAAGTAACGATTGCTTAATTCATTCCCCACTTGATTATTGGTCATATGATTCAGAAAAACTTTCAAATGATTTTTCTATCCTAACAACTCTATCGCAATTTAATTCAACTTCATCTTTCGGGATACCAATGCCTTTAAGTTCCGTTTTCGGTAATCCTATAATTGAGAAAAAGCAAGGAAAAATTATTAGTGCGGATTCAATAATTTTAACTTATTTTCTGGAAGATTCTACTAGAGACCAAATTGTTAATTCTTGGGATATGCTTTGGGATCAAGTAATTAATAATATAGATACAAAATGTAATATTGGTGGTAACCAAATTAAAGGAATAAATATAACTACTAAAGGAGATTTAAAACATTTTTATTTAGAGGTAAAAAAAAAAAAAAAGATTATTTTTTTTTATTTCATCAATTTCATCTTTCATTTGATATATGAATTAATCATATGGAATTTATAATAATTTAAAGTTTAACAAGGTTAAATCCACGAAATTTACTGATGATTTCATCTTTCTGGCGATACAATATTTCATGGTTTTACTTTATATTTTGCTTTCCCTCAATCGTCTTAATTCAGTCAAATCAAAGATTGGGTTGACTTTTTCAATGGTGGCACAATTATGTGCTTCTTTGGTTATTTCAGTTAGTATATGTTCTTTATGTGGATTTGCCTTAAACCATGTGTCTTGGTGAGTTATATAATATTTATATTGAGAAAGTTATAACAAGTGATAATTATATTTATATCAAAATTTATTAAACTTTAAGGCGATTTTTACCTCTTGTGCTTATCATTGTTGGCGTTGAAAAAAATTTTGAATTGACTAATGCAGTCACGTCAATTCCTGGGCAATTGCCAGTTGAAGAACGTATCGGTAAAGGTAATAATGTATATAATATATTCATTCCTTAATTTCTTTAATGATAATTCTTTAAATACTAATAAATCATTTTTTTTTCAAAGGTCTTGAGAAAGCTGGATATTCCATAACAAAAACTCTCTTTACCGGTCTCATTATATCGTTTATAAGTTCTGCCATTGGCATTGATTCGGTTCAAGAATTTTGTATTTTTATTTCTGTAGCGATGATCATAGATTACATGTTACAGATGTCATTTTTTATAACAGTTTTGACAATTGATCTTCATAGATTGGGACACGAGGTAATTATTATACTATATTTACGCATCTCGTATATTATGTTAGCATGCATTAATTTATTTATTTATTTTATAATGTATAATATTTTCACGACTTGAAATTAGTTGTCCACTTTATACAATCGTAAAATTTCTAGTCCAATAGAAACAATAAATAATTCTCGAAACATTCGCAATTCAAAATTTAACTCTTGCATTGATAGCGTTAATAAGAACTCAAAAACGGTCAACAATGGTAGTAGAATTTCAAGTTCTTTAACGGTATGTGTATATATTAATTAGTTGATCATTCATCACCGAGTTAAAAATTTACAATAATTAATTATAATTTAATTTATTATATAAAGATTCTCTTAATAATTGTTCCCATTACCATGACAATTGTTCATAATTTAAATTTCGATTTCGTCACTCTTAAGTCCTTACTTCCTGGTTACAACCTGGATACCAGATCTCAGTCTGCAAGTGCCAAAACAAATATCATATTCTGGGGAACATCATCCATAACAGAAAACGAATTTTGGCGTATTTTGAATCCTTCGAATGAAGATCAATATGCTGAAATTCGTCCTGCAAAGTATTTAACTTTATTGTCCGATAAGAATATAAGCGAATATAACACTTCAAGAAATGTACCGTCATCTCAAGCAGACTGGAAATTAATTGCAAGGACTATCTTACAGAATGTTATATGGTTCCTTAAATTTGTGATGCCTGTTGGAATCGCAACATTATACTTAATCAGTTATTTGGTTCCTTCAGATTTAATGTATAGAGATGATAAATTAAGAAATAACATGGATAATATTTTAGTTTTATCTTCAACATTTCGTGGTGAAACTCGGTCGATCATTGCAATTCCAAAAGTTATAACCTTACGTGGTCGTCATTCAGCAGATGTTGACTTATTATGTGCAAATTCTGATGGTATGATTATTTCTACTGCTACTGACAAACATATAACATCATGGGATGGAAAGCAAGGAATATATTTGAAGAAACTTGAAAGATATATGCGTCGTTGTGAATCATGTAAATGTCGTATTACAGGTGGAATGAAAAAATGCATATCTTGGCCAGTTAGGACCATGTGTATGAATGAAAAAGTTGGTTGGGCCGCAGCTGGATTTGAAGATGGTGTAATTAGAGTTTGGGACATTCACTCCGGTCAGATCACATACATATTAAAAGATACTGTTGAAGATGTAGAATCGGTGATATCAGTAATGACCAGGAATTCAATTAGAGAACGTGTTACCTGTTTACAAATTGTTGTACCAAATTCATATCCAAAAACAAGTTTTTCAAATAACGAACCCGGATATCATACTAATTTTAAGTCAAATTCAAATGATAAAGCACCCGCGATGCTTCTTGCTGCCTACAGAAGTGGACATTTTCGCGAATGGGACATTGTTTCTGGTCAGATTGTTCATACAATTGCTACAAATCAAAAAGGAGGCATAAGTTATCTATTTGTTGTTGAAGGTAAACAAAATTATGATCAAGATGATTTACGAATATATACTGGTGCACGAGATGGATCTGTCAAATGTTGGATTCGTACTATTTATCATTCGGAAGATGAATCAAAATCTTCTTCTTCGGACCCTAGCGAGTCACCTAAAAGTCGATGGAAATCATTTTATACGATTCCTGGGGAATTGAATAATGTCATTACTTGCATTGCCGCCAAAGTTATAAAAACCCGAAATAATAGTCTTGGAATATTAGTAACTGGTGCATCTGATGGAGAAGTAAGAGTATATGATTATTCTTCAGGAAAACATATTGTTACATTAAGTCAAGGAACAACTGGAAAACAACGCGCAAAAGAACATAAACAACAATTATTACAGGAACGATTATTACAACGACGAATAATTAAAAATCAACAACAATTTATCCAGTCAAACGGTCAACAACATAATATTAAGTCATCCAGTCAGCAGCAATTTATTCGGTCAAATGGTTATCAATATAATTTTTGCTCAAATCAAGAAAGTGAAGAAGATGATGATGAATATGATGATGATGATGATGAGAACGAAAATGAATGCGAAGAAGAGACGGACGACGATAGTGATCTTCCACATCATCAAGATGCTATTACAAACATTATTATCCATCCTCTGAAGGAACAAAGCTGTCCATGTGGAAATGCCGAGGGAACGGGCGGTTTTACCATAGTAACTTCGTCCACAGACGAAAAAGTACGTGTATGGCAACTAACAAGAGATTTTATGGATTGTACATGCATGGCGTTAAAAATAGGAAAAAATAATCTTTCACAAGTGCGTAATAATACAGGTCAGCTTCATCGACAAGTAGCACAATGGAACGGAGTAGTATCTTATCAAACTAAATATGTTGGATGTGTCAGCCAATCCGGGGGTTCAGCCATTGTGTTACTTCGAGAAAATATAATTGGTGTTCGACACATTAAACCTTCATCGACTAAATCAAAACAAGTTCCTAAAAGATGTCATGGTGCAGAAGGTGAATGGGAATTATGGGTATTAGATATTAATGATCCACATGTAATTGAAGAAAAGGAAGAACATAAAAATTCAGATGATGATGATGAAGTCGAATTAAGTGTTCAAGTTTTACCATTAGTTAATGAAGAAGATTTGATTGAACAAAAACAACAAAAAAAGAAAAAGGAAGAATTAAAACGACGCGATCAAGACCGTACAGGAAAAATAAATACATTTTCTCGAAGAAATGGATCAACCAATTCTAATAACAGTACATTTCCTAGTCCGCCTTTTCCCACATCGTTTCCTTCAAACACAATACACCATAATGATCATCATTCACACGACCATCATTCACACGACCATCACGAAGATGACGAAGACGACCATCACCACGAAGACGAAGACACACAAGGTCAAGTTGTTGATTTTCGGCAGAGTGGTCTTAGACGACGTGCTAGTGTCTTACATAGGGTATACCCTAATAATATTATCAATGATCAACAGTTGGCAATACTCAACGAGGAAGATGAAATGAATGAAATATTACCATTCGCTTACGTACGACAAGCGGTTAAAGTTGGAGATGATGGGGTGGCTATTGCTTATGGCAATTTTATAAAATATATACAATTTGAAGAAATGAATGATGAAAAAAAATGAGGTCATATAATCAATTTACTTTAAATCTTTAAATTTTTTTTCTTGAGTAGAGAAAGTTCGTTTTTATTGGTTGATGATCACAAATAGGAATTTATCAGTGTGATCAGGTGATCAAAAAGTGATTAGTGTTTCCGAAGTTCAAATCTTATTTATTATTTAAAAAATTATGTAGATATATATATTAATCCTCATCTAAAAATATTCAAATTAAAAGGTTATAGTATTATTTATTATTATGGATTCTGTATATAAAGTTATGGTTTTATTAAAAATTAAAATTTCACTGGTATTTAACTTATTATTAACACTTTCTATCTGGAACATGAGATCTTGTGAGATCTTATATGTTCAAACGAAAGAAAAACCTTCTAAAGATGTACCTACAAAGTTTCTAATTATTTAGTAATTTGTGGCTTGTCATATAATCGATCAAATTTCAATTGAACCTTATCGTAAAACGAATGTAAATAATTGGCTTAGATTCATCTGCGGAATTATAGATATTTTATATTTATTTCATCAATTATCTAGTTATTTAATCTAATAAAAACACTATAATATTTTGGTTTAAATTGTACTTGTACTTTTAAAAACGGTCATTACCAGTACGTAAAGATGATCACTTGTCCAAATTAATTTCTAAATTAATAAAATTAAAGAAAAATAGAACGTTTGTTTTAAATAAAATAGCAGATTTTTCATAAAATATGAATTAAAATGTATACAAATTATAATTGTTATTTGATTATGTTAATAAATAAAAATGTTCTTTTATTCATGTTATTTTATTAATCAGGACAAATGTCATTCGAACATTATTTTCTTTTGGAACTGACCAATTATTAAGTATGTTATGCATGTTGTTTGTTATGTTTGTTACGTTTAAGTTGAAGATTATTTAATTGGTGACCAATTTATTATATACATATACACACGTGAAATAAGATGTAGCATTAATTAAGAAAAAATAGAAAAAAAAAATAAAAAAAAAAATAGGAAAAAAAAAAACCTGATTTATAATTGACAGATAGGATCGATCACCTACAGTGCTCACCCGTGCGCTACTTTGAATTCTTATAATCAAATCGGTATGGTTAGTTTTGGTAAGACATCCTGTCTAACGTTTTAATATATTCGGTGATTTAAAAAAGTAATATTCACCGTCTTTATTGATTTATTCTTTGTTAACCTTATCAAGTAATAAGGTTTTTTTATTTTCAGTTTATAGTGTAAAATAAAGTATTTAAAATATTTTGATTATATAAAAATATGTAGATATAAAATAACTTTATCAGCATGCAATTAACTCAAATTTACAAATTTTACCCATTCTGATATTTTTAATAATAATTATTGCCAATAAAGGTGATCATCCATCTGTTTTATGCATAAAAAAAAATTTAGGAAAGTCCACGAGGAAGAAATTTATCAGGTTTTTTTTTTTTTTTTTTTCAAAAGAGAATTAAGATTTAACTTTCTTTGTTTATTTATTTTTTTTTTTATTTTTTTTTTTCAAAGGATAATTTTAAGATTTAACATTCTTTATTTATTTATTTATATTTTTATTATTATTATTATTTTTTTTTTTGAGAATTGTTATTATTAAGGTTGATGAGACGTTCTAATAAGATTTAATGAGGATGTAATGAAACGTGAAATAAATGAATGCACAATTCTTGTAATAAGAAAAAAGAACAAACGAAGGGATGGAACAAAAGAACAATTAAAGCTAATATCCCATTACTCATGTTTTGTAAATAAGAAAATAAAGTACGATCGATATATTTTGATACATATACTAATTATACTAATTTATGTTAAGTAGAAATTTAATGAACTTTCTTTCATCCCTTATTTAAAAATAGATTTAAGGTATATTGTATATTTATTTTATTTATTTTTTATATTGTTATTATTATTTTTTTTTTAACATTCAGATTACTGCTTTCATAATTATAATTATCAATAAACAATCAATAACAACAATCAATAAATCAATAACAACAATATAACAACAATAATATAAATTAGATAAACATTTACCATAACAAATATTATAATCATAAATAATAACAATTAAACTAGCATTAACTTGGTACCATTCATAACGTGAATGAATAATGTTGAATAATGAGCAAAGAAAAATGTTATATTCGTGGAACGAAATATAGAAAATTCTGGATACATAATTTGTATTAATTAAAAAACGTTTTTTTTATTCCCATTTTCTTTGGGTACGAGTAAAATTTAATTATCATCTAATAATACTGTAGATCTAGCTAGATTATTATTTTTTGCACGTGTAAAATAAAATAATTACATGAGTCGTAATATCTGAATATAAATATTAGAAACTGGAAAAAAAAAAAAAAAAAAAAACCAGATTTATAGACTTTATATCGTTAGCATATATTACTTTTGTTTAATTTGTTTAACTATTTTATAACGTCATCATTACCACGATACGCAGTACAGAATTTCTTATTCATAGTTTTTTTTCTTAACTCCTTAAAAATAATTAAAAATTGATCTTGGAATTCTTTAAAAATTTGGCGTTTTTTTGCTTAAATGTTTAGGGACCAAAAAAACTTACTAATAATGTTTAATAACCCTACTTAGCCTTCGATATTCACCACCTCCGATTAAATGTCACCCTTTTACCTTTTACGAAGATGTGCCGGAGCTTTACGCCTAATATATACTTTTATATTATAGAATTATTACAATCATTGTTATCTTATATTTTGTTTATATTGTAATAATTAACATTGTCTTCTTTAACCTATTCTAATTTAGCATAATCAATAAAATAAATAAAATAATATTACCATAAAAAATTGTAAAGACTAACCTAGTTCTTTATTTTCTTCTTTTAATTATAACTTATCATAATTTATCGTGTGACCTAAAAGAACAATAGCGAATTTCATATTACATTTTTCTATATAATTTTTAAAATTTAATATATTCAAATTGGGTAAGATGTTTAATTCATTAGTTAATTATTAATAGATAAGCCACTTTATTAACATAATAGTAAATTGAAAAAAAAAAATATTAATTACTTAAGTTACCTATGCATAACCTACGTAATAATCTACATAAAATAATATTTAATATTAAAATTAAATTATTTAATTAAAAATTAAATTATTTAAAAATTAAAATTATTAAAAAATTTATTAAAAAATTATTAAATAAGCATACGCTAGAAAAATAATTAATTATTATTCATTATTATATTAATATTTAATTAATATCTATTAATATTTAATTAAATATCTATTAATATTTAATTAAATATCTATTAATATTGTCAATGAAAACAATATAAGTATGTGAAAAGCCAATCTCTTCTATCTTCGATTTCTTCGATTCCTTCTAATCTGCTGTGCAACTGTTCGTTGACATTGCATTAATGATATCTTCTTTTCTTTCAAGATTACCAGAATTGTTTTATATGAATTAATTCTACCTATCTCCTTTATGAGTAATATTAAGAATTGTATATCACAATTACTTAAAAAATATTTTTTTATTAGAAACCATTAACATAATGCAAATATATTTTTTATCATTTCATTTTTCATTATCTCAAATAATTATTTTTTTTAACCTACATTTAACTATATTTTACTATATTTTACTATATTTTACTATATTTACCTATATAGTAAATCAAACTTTTATCTAATTATACGCTCATTAGTTGGATTTTCTTTTTTTATTATTTCATTGTTTAAATTTGTTAGATTGTAATAATAGGTGCATAAAACCTATTATTTGTTATTATGTATTCTTGGTTTGGCCATTATTATATTTATATTTATTTATATTTATTTATATTTATTTATATTTATTTTAAATTTATTTATATTTATTTTTTTTAATAATATTTCATTAACATTTATACTAACAATTTAACAATTATCCATTGAGAGGTGAAGCATAAAATCACAAGACATGACAAATACATAATTATTTCTAACAGAACGGTGTTATTCCAAATCCGTATATTATAAAATGTGAGATACTGTATGAGTATACAGTTTGCAGATTTAAATTTATCTGTATAGCTACCGTAAACGGTAAATACCAGCAAGGTGTTTAATTTTTTTTTTTTCCCAACGGTACATGATGTTATTATTCTCTCTCTTTTTCCGCTGTCTTCAAAAAAAAAATTTGCATGTTATTACTGTATATATACAACGAAACGAGTTTAAATCATGTATTTTTAGTATTACTTGAATTTTGTTTATATTTAATTTGTGTAATCTGTCTTTATTAATGAAGGAGGGTCATTTCGAAAAACGGGGTTGTCATCTTGAAAGTGGGGAATGTCTTATTACCAAATTTGGTCATTAAGTTGTTAGTTAGGAGTCAAAGGGTTCGTGCTTGTAAAAAAAAATCGTGAAAATTGGTAAATAATTTGTAAACATGTTTATCAAAAAATAATCTGATCGCAAACAACGCCCAAGGATAATCCTAAGGGAATTTGGGTAATATTCCACGATTTTTGGCGACTTTTATGTTTATATCTCTATTTACCGAATCAGAAAAATGCTTTTAATTACTCTTTTATTAATTTTTCCATATTATTTATCAACAGTTTGAACACCAATAAAATTTCGCTCTTTTTTTTTTTTATCAAATCTTCCTTCTCACATATAATATATATATACAAAACAACAATCAATATTATTAATTATTAATATTACTATGTCTTTACTTTATATTATCCCGAAATATTGGATCAATTATGTATTCCAATTCCCGAACTAATCCATTCTGAATTCGCATTATAAATCCTCATCGTTACGACCTCTGATTTTTTTTTCTCTGTCTTGTTTTTTTCTTTATTTTTATTTTTATTTTTTTTGTTCTTTTATAAAAAATAAGACGAGTAGCACATTAGTACATTTTATAAGCATCCATTAATTTATTCTTCACACGTTTCTTTTCCATAGTTATGTGTAGTGATTTGTGGGTCTGATCTTTTTTTTTCAATCCTCCTTTTTTTTTTTTTTTATTATTATTGTTTTTTTCATTGACAGTGTATTATTATATTTAGTTTGTATTATTAGTTAATTTTTTTAGCAATCTCGTCTTTAATTCTCCTTTATTGTCCCTAAACTTAAAGTCTTTATTGCTTACGCGAAAACGCGTAAATTGTTTTTATAAATTTTATTTTCTATAATCGTTATCACATTTTTTTTTTTTATTTTTTTTTTTTTATTTTATTATCTTTTTTCATATTTTTTTTTTATTATTGTATTTTTAAATTGTTACCCCGCATTCTTTCCATAAATCCATCAATTATAATTTATCACAATACTCGTGCATATATTAATTAATTCCCTCTTGAAGTAATTGAAGTAAGTATACATATTCACATATCAGGTAATTAGTGGGCAATGTGTTTGGTCCCTAAATTGTTTGATTTTTTTTTTTTTTTTTTTTTTTGAACATCACCCCTTCCCCGGATCTTCCCCTTAATAAAGTAAAAGACAAAAAAAATAACGACGTGCAGTGGCTACTACAAAAAGAAAATTTCATTTGATTTCTCTTCTGGGGGCTTTTTTTTTATGTGCCCGACTATTTTCAGCTTCAATCTTCATGATTTTTTTTTCCCACACTGTAATTTTTGTATAAAAGAGACTAAAAAACGCGAACTTTTTACCGTTTTTTCTTTACGCTCCCTTTTTTGCGCGCGTCGTCTTCTCCCTCTTTAAATTTCATGTGCCACTTTTTTTATCGCAGCCACCTTCGTATTTACCTAAAACTTAGAAATAATTTTTCTTTAACGAAAATTCTATTCCTGTTTAAGTCTTTGAACTGGCAGATTTAATGACTAATTAGTAAATAACTATAAAATTTTTTATTGTAAATACAAACAAACTGATTGTAAATACATTTTGATATATTTTTATATATATATATATATATATATATAAATAATTAGAATACAATATATATTTTATATTGATATTGTTCATATATAAAAATATCGATATCCCAAAACAAACAACTTTACCTTTCGTCTGCCCTTTATTTTCTTAATCGTAGCTTTTGTATTCTTTTTCTTTTATTAGATCAAAATACATTTTACTATTACCCCTCTTTCCTTTTCTCGTGTCCTGTCAGAGATTTTACTTACCACAATATATCCTTGTATTTTCATAAAATATGCAAGACTCTCGAGCGGAATCTTATATGGAACATCACGATCTAAAAAATTTGTTCAACGAACTCGAAGGTGGTTTGCAGCGTCACCAGCCTAACGATCCTTTAGACTATATTGTTGGTTGTGTGAAAACTGTTCAGCAAATAAAGAGGGAGTCGAAAGGACCACTTTTGTACTCGGTAAAGTATATTTGTTTACATAAAGACTCTAGACTCTTACCTTTTTCGTTTGTGCCTATACCGTTTTATGCACTATTCTGCTCCCTATATGTATCTATCTCTCCGACTTGGAAGTACTTGTGTCATAACCAAGCCACAAGCCATAAAAAAACTCAATAACTATAAGACTAACTTTGAATATTCATTTTTTATATTTTTGTGTTGCGCGAACGCGTGTTAACCTATCACCAACCAACCTTTGGAACCTTCTATCAAATCAAACAACTATTGATACCTTCCACATCAATCATTCATTTATCATGAATTCTAGAAACTCTTTGAAGAGTGTACTACTCAGAAACATAACGCAGTTGTTAACGATCAATATAACGAACATACATTAGATACCTTAACAGAGTATCCTCGTATGTATCATATCATTGGCGCGTCGTGATGTCATCATTTATTCTATATATATAATATATTTTATTAAACAATAAAACAATTCATTTAGTTGGATCTAATAATAATAATAATAATAAGAAACGCCAACGTCCTGAACGTTCTGAAGAGGAAGCATTGTAAGTTATTTCTTTTTCATCACTCAAAAATATAATCACAATATAATATCACTATATATATATATATATATATCAATATATAATCAATATATAATCAATATAATCAATATATAATTAATGTTATTTAAATGTACATACCTTTAATTTATTTATTTAGTATGGAGTACAGACCTCCTCCTTCTCACTATAATCCTTACCAACTAACCTTTGATCAACATGTTCCTCATCAAGATGATCAAAGTCACCGTCGCTTCATAATACCTCAACACAATCTCTCCGCTCGTTTTATGCGTAATCATTCCTCTTCAGTAGGCAGGCGTGGCCGTCGTTCTTCTGTTAGTGCGGAATCTATTAAACCGTCTGATGACCCTAATGATCGCTTAATTATTCCAAAATCTGATGAAATCAAAAAGCGAATTGAAGCATCCACTTTTCAAAACTTGCTCTTTAAAAATTTAGATTGTGAAATTAAGCAGCAAGTGGTAAGTTTCACAAGATCTTTTTTTTGTACTCCGGTAAGATCACATGATCAAATGTTCTTATATATAAAATTATTCTTTCTTTTAGTTTGATGCTATGTCAGAAGTATCAGTGCAACAAAATGATGTTATTATCCGACAAGGAGACGATGGCGATTATTTTTATGTCATTGAACACGGTCTTTTTGAAATATTTATCGATAATAAGAAAGAACAACTTGAGCTTGGTGGTGGTACTAGTTTCGGGGAACTCGCCCTAATGTACAATGTAAGTTAATTAAGAACTTTTGATTATAGTTTTTTTTGATCTTTAATAAAAAAAAACACAATCAACTTATCTGATGTTAATTGTTATATATACCAGGTCCCTCGTGCTGCTACTGTAAGAGCGAAAACCAATGCTACTCTATGGAGACTTGATAGAGTTAATTTTAGGAAGACACTTAGCAACTGTGCTTATCGTAAACGAAAAACGTATGAAACCTTTTTACGATCGGTTAATTTTTTTAATTCGTTAACTCCAACGGAAATTGTTAAACTCGCTGATTCCTTGGAACCCTTTAATTATGATGATGGCGAATGTATCATCACTCAAGGTGATCCCGGTGAATATTTTTATATTCTTGAACAAGGACAAGTGAGCGTAAGTAGAATTGATGAAAATGGTATAGAACAAAATTTTCCAAACCTTCAAGTGGGTGATTATTTTGGAGGTATGAAAAAAAAAAAATATTATTTATTAATTTTTATCATAAAAAAAAAATTGTCATATCTTATAAAATAAATAAATTAATACTTATCATCTGAAATATAATATAAATGTATATATTAGAACTTGCTCTTCTCAACGATCAACCACGTAAAGCAACCGTCGTCGCAAGAGGTCCAGTTCGCGTTGCCGCTCTTAGACGTGACGCATTCGTGCGAGTTTTGGGCCCTCTCATGTTCATTTTCCATAGAAATGCTCTCATGTATAATAATGTCAATAATAATAATGAAAATACTTTAAATAATACCTATACCTATCCAAGCAATTATGATCCCTCTTATTCACCTGTTCCATCAGGATCACTTCATGGGGATATTAACGTATCAAATCATAATAGTGGTGATGAAGGTATGGTTATGGATGAGGATTGTTCCTCAACTTCTTCTACTACTACAATCAAATCGCCTTCTCTTACACCATCACCTAAACCTGCCAAGAAAAGCGGTTATAGTGGAGCCGGCGGAGTTGACGTATTATAAAAAAATCATATTAAAAAAATAGTGATACTAGAAATATGGATTTCTGGAAATGTTTGCGGGGTTACAATATTCTTTCTATATGCTTTAAATTATTTTTTTTTTCTAAGTTATTTTTTAAGATGCCCTTCCTTTAAATATATAGAATATATAGCTTTCTAAATATTTTTTTTAGTAAATTATGCTTTTCTTTTTTTTTTCTTTTCTATTTTTCTCCTTCTAACATTTCCAAGTATGCCCTTTATTTTTTTTTTATTTTTTTTTAATTATTATTCGAAATAACAAATTATAAGGTCTTTTTTTTTTCACTTATCTTTCAAATTTATGAATTTAGTTCCACTTCGCATCATTACTTTTTTTTTCTTTTTTTTTAAAAAAAAACTTTATTATTTCTTATGCTCATAATTACATTAACGCCGGAGCTCTTTTTTTTTAAAAAAAATTTTTTTTTTTTTACATTTTATTTTTTCTTATGCTCCCCCGACTCAACTATGTCTTAATAATTTCGGTTTTGTCCCCAACGGGGGACCTATTGGCATGGTTGTAGTCGGAGGTTTTCGTATTTTAACGCTTAACTTGTATGAAACAAAAAAAAAAGATGTTTTGGTTTTAAAATAAAAGTAACAAATAAGCATTCTTAAGGTATTATAATCAATAAGTGTCAACAAAAAGTAATTTACCTTAATGTTTTCGTTAGCATACACGCTATCAACGAATAGCGTATTAATTGATCTTATGGTATGGAAAAATGTTTTCAATGAACAAAGACCCGAACCTTTTTTGGCTCGTATTAGAAATTGTTGCAGTCGAAAGTGACGAAGGAAGATTTCCGTAGATTATTATTAATTTTTTTTTTTTTTTTTTTTTTTTTTTTTTTTTTTTTTTTTTTTTTAGGACGGGTGGTAAGTTACAAGGAAGGTAGAAAAAAAAAACTAACATGACGATAGAATATTCTACTCTATGTAAGATTGATTTATTTTTTATTATTATTGATTTCATAGTTTTAAATAATTGATTCTATATTAAAAAAAAAAAAAAAATTATTTTTTTTTTGTCATCGATCACGGAGTAAATTAATAAATTACGAAAGAGAATAACTGTAAGGTTTTTTTTTTTGAATCTTTTGTTACATTAAAACGATCGCGTAATGAATGGCTATAGTAACGATCAAAAAAAAAATTTTTTTCCATTTCTGCAATGTTCAGATAGAGAGATATATATATGGAGATAAGTATCCGCACAGTTATAAAAAGTTCACTTAACATCATTAATACGCGAAAATTATGGTCGAAGATAAAATTTTAGGACAAATCAATAAGGATTTATTATAAGAATATTAATATTCCTGGATGGCAATACAAGTAACAAATAGTAATATAAAAGGAACCATAACTTTATGCAAGAGAATTATATAGAAAACATCGAAGGAGCGTGTTAGTTACAAAGGTGTGCTGATAAATTATTCATTGGTCATAGGAAATTTCGTGATCCTGAAATTTCAACACACATTTATTCATTGCAGAAACATTTCTCGTACCCAAGAGTAAAAAAATTTTTTATGGAGGCTGGGCCATTTATATATCACGTCAAAGTTTTCAAGTGGCGCGGGTGCGTAGTACACCACATAAAGATTGATTATACAAAAAAAAAATATTATATCATTTTATCTCGTAGTGAGACGTGACTCAACATTAAAAAATGAAGTAATGAGTATTGTAACAAACAATTTACAAAATTCTAAGTTAAAACAGATCTATCGAGTTATTCAAAAAAAAAAAAATACATGTTTATCAAGCATATTTAATCGTATTAATCAAGTTTTTTTTTTTGATTCATGAATATTGATTTACACACACACGACACATTACATACACATAATCTCAAAAAAAAAAAATAAAATAAAAAATAGATATGAACCATACCAATTATTTGCCTTTTAAGAAAAATCTGTACTTTGGCGAACAAATAATTGTAGATCAATTTTACGTACAGCTGCATTATTCACAATAAGGTTTTTTTTTCTCACTCAAAATGTTGAAAATACGCAGAATAATGAATAATGAGAATTCTGCCTTTTAATTATGACAGGAAATGTATAGTATAAAATTCCAATTTCATGTGATTTTTGGTTATATAAGTCCCGAACATTTTATTATGAATTTTTTTTATTCATTATTTTTTATATTAGTAACACGAGAAATAACAATTTTTTCATTTTTTTTTATCAATACAAAGCTAAAAAGGCTAATTCAACATTTTTATTAAGAATTATGAGAATAGAAATATTAATTAATGGCGTGCGAATCAAAGTACATATGAAAAAGTTATGATATTTTCTTATCTCATCAAAATACAATATAACCTAATGAATCTTAGTATATCTTGGTTCAATTTTTAAATTTTTTCACATCTTTTTGTTTCATTCTTAAAAGGTTTCTTTTCTTTTCGGTTTTACTAATCGTTCGAGAATTATTATTATTATTATTATCATTTGTTTCTAAAATTGAGTGTGTTATGTTAACATTTGTATGCGTTGGAGGAGTTGTGTGAATGGTATTTGTCGTATTGTGAATATGTTGAGTAATATCTTCAAAAGGTTCCCTTATTCCAATTTGCGATTTGATTATATTCAAAGCTAATTTCGTTTCTAATCTTTCTAATCCTTGATTCATGGATATATCGCTTTTATTTTGATTTGTGAGATCATCGAGAATTTTCTTTTGTTCAGTAGTTTGATTTTCACTTAATGGTTCATTTATTTCTGATAAAAGATTATTATTATTAATAATGCTTTGGTTGGAAAGATCACCAAAAGGTTTCCTTTGTTCAACAATATTTTTTTCTTCAAATTGTTTTTTAGTTTCTGATGAAGAAGAAAGACTTGTAGTAGTAGTAGATTTATTAATGTTTTGATTAGAAAGATCACCAAAAGGTTTCCTTTTATCAATCGGTTTAAAGTTACTTGTCGGATCTTTCGAAATTTTCTTAGTGCCCTTGGATTTAGGGCGTAGAAGGAATCTTCTCTTACGATTTTGAGTACTGAATGGTTTAGGATTTTGCTGTTGCGAGTCATTAACTGTCAATCTACTAATCTCAGGTATATCTGCTTTCGTTTCAACTAACTCTTCATTCTTTGACATTTCATTCTTGGACGTGGGCTTTATGTCTTCATTCTTGGACGCAGAATTTATATCTTCATTCTTGAACATGGATTTTTCTTGCAAATCGTTCTTTAAAAGAAAATTAGATACATTATATCATCGAATCATTAAATTAAATTCTTATTTTTTTTTTAAAAAAAAAAAACAAATACCTGTTCGTATGTTTCAGTAGTAAGATTTTCTGTAGATTTGGAAATTTCGGATTTTTCAATATTCTTTAACAAATGCATTAGATAAATGCATCCATGATTTTAATAATAACATTATAAGCTACATTTTAAAAATCACATTCAAATTTAGAATCTTATATTTACCTTTGAATAATGAGATTCCTTACTTTCCACAGCGTACTTTAAAGTAGCCTCTCTTGCTTTATGAAGAAACAAAGATCGAAGTTCCTTATATTCACTGGCCTATTTATTTATTATTATAATTCAATAAGCATAATTTTTTTATTTACATTTTATTATTCGCCAATAATAATAATAATATGACAAAAACCTACAATTTCTACAACGAGAGGATCATCTGGGTTGGGTTCTGCCATCAAAAGACTTAAAGAAGTTAACGTAGTAGAAATATTTAAAGAGGGTTTCCATGATCCCTTAATTATTTTCAAAAATCATTTTATGAATTTTTTGATAAGTGAAAAAAAAAAAAATAGTCACAAGAAATATTATACTACATTAGGTGGCATCTTTAATAAATCAAGACATATTCTTCCAGCATCATCAATATTTGGATGATATATTGGGGTGATAAATTGCATTTTTGGTGGCTCCAAGGGATATCTAAAAATAGATCAAAAAAAAAATTAAAATAGATATATTTTATTCTTTATTAATGAAATAAAGATTTTTTTTTTTTTACCGTGCAGGTATTTGCACATCTACTTTAAAGGTTCCCTCTTCATAAGGCGTGTCTTTTGGTCCTTTAATTTCTTTAAAAATCAAAAAAAAAATATCAATAATCGGAAAAAACCTTTTTTTAAAAAATAACAAAATTTTATTATTATTTTTTTATTATTTTTTTTTGAAATGAATTAACTTACGAGCACAAAATCGCATAAAACTATCGTCTATAGGATAACAAACAATGCCAGGTGGTATGTCGCGTTCCAAGATTTCTAGAAAGGAATTATCATTTTATATATATATATATTAGGCATACATAATTCGATAATGAAAATAGAATGAATATAAAAAAAAATCTTTTACCAAGTTCGCGTTTCATTCGGGGAAGTAATTGACTTGACGACATTTTATAAAGGATTGTGTTATTATGTATTTATAAGTATTTATTATTATAAAGTGAGTGAGTGATGAGAGACTAGTAAAAAAAAAGTAAATACACGACTAATTTAAACTCGAGTGATGTCACTTGTTTAATACTATATGCGGAAAATGTGAAAGGGAATGTAACACAGGTAATTGACATTATTATTATTATTATTATTATTTTTATTCTTCAAAAATATTCAAAAATATTCAAAATAATTATAACATGAAACATGACCAAAAACAATTACAATAAAATCAATAAAAATCAGGAGATCTTGAATTATTCCCACACATTTGGAATGTTATTGCGGATTTTTATAATATTTGATTAAAATATTTTTAATTTACAAGAATAATAATAAATCTAAGTTCTATGAATCAACCATATAACTTGTTAGATTACTTTCATTGAATACAAATCGAGTTATTTTCAGATCAAGTTTAGGAAATCTTGGAATTTATAAATATTGCGAAATATTATTACATTCCGCCCAATGTTTCACTACTATAATAAATGTTATTCAAAATTGGTAAAATCAATAACGAATGAACCACGTGAATTCGTGACTTTAAGATTTTTTTTGAGTGTACAGATGTCGGAAGTATAGAATTGTAATGTCCGGAAATTACTTCCTTTGGTCTTACTGTAACCATGCAGGCGTTTCCTATTGATGTATTACAATTCATCCGACCTTTCTCAATATAATGATTATAAACAAGGTTTAATTGACATTTTAGTGTTCAGCTTCGATTTTTTAAATTGAGAATGTATTACAAAAAAAAAAAAAAAAAAAAAAGAATCGTTTCACAACTTAAGCCAATCAAACTTCCGGATATGTGACCAATGAAAAGATTCGTGTTTAATTTCTATTTTAACTAATTGACCTCGTCTTCAAACGCCTTTTTCACCTGTTTTTTTTTTGTTCTCCCTGCATCATTCCTCCGTCTTACTGATTTCTTTTCATCCCTTCTTCCCTTTAAAAATTCTTCAAGCGAAATTGTGAGAGAATATTCAAATCTTTCTAAACCATATAACATATTAATCGCTTGGAGGAATTATTATCCTTGTATCAAAGTAACAACAATATAATAATAACAATAAATCATTTTCGCCTTTGTCAACTGGTCAAATATAACTTTTGGTTATTTTTTTTTTTTTTTTCAATTTCGTCACGCACACACATTATATATATATATATATATAGAATCACATTTTCTTTATACATAGTTCCATATAGACCTTATACATATTCTGGTTAAATAAATTTCCTTGTATCTATATTGCATCGATATTAATCAAATATTAAATATTAATATTAATTTTATAAAATCATAAAAAAAAAAAATTTTTTTTTTTCCTTTATTCTTCTGTTTATATTTTATATTCATTTTTTATTTTACATACATAGACCTTTCTTTTAACGAAATATCATAAAAAAAAATAATAATAATAAAAATCAAAAGACCTTGTTGACAAACATGACTTTATTCTACACTCAACCTCACGCCATTCGTCCATACGACCGCACTTTTACAGAAAATTTTAATAACATCCCTCCGCGGTCTTCACCTACTTCGCCTGAAAAGTCTTCAAGTACGGAGGTTATCTCATCTCAAAACCCTAACGATCTACCTTATATCGTTGCTCCCTATCCCAAAAAAGCTTTATACGCATATACTGGTAACTTATTAAATAATAATTGTACTCCGGTTTTGCCATCATCTGAAAGCCCTTGGGGACTGTCTGCTGTGCAGGAGGACATTGAAGATGATCCCATAATGTTTGAGACCAATTCAGACTTTCAGTAAGTATAGTTAATCTAGTTATTTAATTTAATCAAATTATAATATGTGAAATGAATTATTATTTATTATTTTTTATTTTTTTATTTTTATTTTTATTTTATTTTTTTTTTCAATCGCATATTATTAGGTCTGATGATGCACTTGCTTGCGCAGAACTCATGGAAATCATGGGTAATTCAAGTCAAAGTTCTAGTCGTCCAGCTTCTCAATCTACTTCACCGGATCGTGTTCATCGTTCTTCTCCCGTAACACAATTTGATCAGGATGAAGAAGATTTAAGTGATGAATCTTACTCTGGAGCTATTGAAATTGATCAAATTAGGAAACAACGACCTACATCACGTCCAATAAAACTTGCCATTGACAATTCTCATTTGATATTTGGTTCTTCACCAATTACCCGTGCTCATAATCCATTACCTTTGGATTCACATTTTTCACCAACTAAACGTCATCATCATCAATCTCAACCGTATCCATCACGACCTACTCTTCATCAGGCTAATAATATTCAACGTAAATTAGTTGATGTAGTAGTTGGAGGAAATTCTTTTGATGATTCTACCCAAATTCTTCCTTCATCGAAAGCATCTAAAGCTGCTATTCTATTACGCATTTCCGAAGGTGGAAGGCGTCGAGCTCTTTCGGTTGGAAGTGCTAGTTTAAAACCTGGTAGTAAGATTCCCGGTCGTGTCTAAATGGGATTTATCTTTTTTTTTTTTATTCGCAGATCATTCTCTAAGATCATTCATTATAATAATAATATCAATTGCAGTCTCACTCTTCATATCTTTATATCTGTATATATTTTATCACCCTTCTTTTTTTTTTGCACATATTTTTTTTTTTGCCAATTGAGCATTCTGTTTTTATATATTCTGCGTAGACTTTTTTTTTCACAAAAAACTTGTACACAAATTACATATTATTTTACTTGTTGGTTCATTATTATTTTTTTTTTTAAATACATATTTCTTTCTCTATTCATTATAATTTTTACAGCATATTATATCACTTTTATTTTTTATTTTTTTTTTCTTATAATTTATTTTTCTTTCGGTTATTTCGAATCATTAATTAAAGTAAAGTAGTCATAACTGAAAAAGGTTATAGTAATATGTATGTTATGATCTATCTTGAGGTTACATTATGACTATTTGCATTTACAGATTCGAAGATTAATTATTCTTATTCACTTTCTGTTTTGCATTTTTTTTCCTTTTGAAGAGATATTTTTTTCTTCTTTTGTTTATATAATTTGGAAGATAAAATTCTTTATTAGAGAGTGAGTTTTTTAAAGAAAAACAAATTATTAAAATTAAACTTTTATTGACACCTTTTCTATTATATTATTATTATTATTATTATTATTATTATTATCTTTCTAAAAGTCTTTTATAAATGCTTCTCTAATGAAAATTATTTCTATTATCTTTGTAAAAGGTTATTTTAATAATAAATAAATTAATGTAGATAAATTAAATTTCCCAAGTGAGATTTATTAAGTGAAGTGATTACAAAGTGAAATATTGAATAAATTATAATTTTTTTAAAGAAAATGTATTGTGTTTGTTGTGTAATTTGTTTGTGCAATTTTTGTCTGTTTATGTAATTTGTTTGTTAATTAATTAATAGTTATTTAATAGATTAAATTGTCAAATAATTCATTGTTTTCATCAATAATTTATGGAATTTAAATTATAATTTTGATAAATTTCAAAATCAAGTCTCCTCTTCATTAATTCAAATACCAAAAATCCTATACTGGTAGCAGGAACTGCTCTTATTACGGTCGCTCCAAAGTCACCATATAAAAATCGAATCCATCCAGTTCTTTTTGCCCTCAATTTACATTGTTCCCAAGTAATTTTATATAATTTCGATTTTTGTTCATGTTGATATTCGGCTTGTGCTTCTTCAATTAAGAATACATTTCGAACTTTATCAAGTGGATAATCAATTGAATGATATGAAATAGCAGCCAAACCACCAGCTGCAAGTATGAAAGCAGGTTCAAAATTGGAAAAGTATGAATTTTTTTGATTTGAAATTGATTTATTGGATTTATATATTTCATCAAAAACGTAATTATAAGATTTTTGTTTAATAAATTCGAATACTCCAAAGAATAAACCACAAGATAAAGAATCCTTGATAATTTAAGATGATGTAAAGTTAAGATGTATATATATAGATAAATATATAGATAGAGATATATATATATATATGTTAAAAGTAAAATATATATTAATATATTTACCAACCTTTACCAATGTTAACCCAATTCCTCGATAAATACTCGAAAGTCCTAATTCTTTCCATGTGGTTTTGGCATAATAATACATATTTTTATGTTTACCTTCCAACAAATCATTTACTTCAAATCTTACTTTTAATGAATCAAGTGGTGCCGCTACTAACGATTGAGCTGCACCTGCTATAGCTCCGGAAAAAAATACTGTTGAAAACGAAGGAGGTGAATTGAAACGATAAGATGATTCAAATGATGAGGTATCATGAAATTTAGAAAGAACAGAAATATAAACTGTAAATAGAACTGCTCCGATTACTGAATTAGCTAACAAAGGTGGGAGAACATGACGATGAATAAATGAAAACTATTAAATAAATAAAATAAATAAAATTAATATTTGAATTATATAAAAAATCCAAATTAAAATGACTTAACTCCATGATGTTTAACTGCATTAGAAATAATTCCCAAACTAGTATTTTGAAAAAATAATTTTCCTGCATTTGCTGAAGGTGGTGGCATAATAGCTCGGGCCATTACTAAATAATCTACTCTTAATGGTCTAAAAAGCTAATATCAATTGTAAAAAAAAAAAAAAAAAAAAAAAAAGATAAAATTTAAGATCTTTAAAAATTCGAGAAATTCAAATACGTTTTTATTTTACCTTTATTGGGGTCCTATAAAATAATGCAAGACCTTGCAATACAAAAGATCTTGCAAAAGCAGTAGGTGCAGCCAACGAAGCAGCATTTTTAGTTTTTTGTTTTTTGTCAGAATTTTCTTGCTTTAACGTCATTTATATATTTATAACAGAAAAGCAAAAGAATCTTATGATTTATATTTTATTTTTTTTTTTATTATCTTTGATTGGATAATCATTAATTTATGTGGTATGTCTTTTACTTTCATTCATTCCTTTTTTGCATCTAAAAACTAAAAAGTATTATTATCTAGCATTATTAAAAAGTTTTCGAACATGATGGCGATCAATTTAAAATCGACCTTATCCTGTCAGGTGATAATTCTTGTACAAACCATGTTTCAGAGATAATTATTATCAGGACCTTAAATAATACGATTTTGCGATAATCTTTGTCAACATAGATTGATATGCTATACACGAAAATTGTTTATTGACAGGCCATTCCGATTAAGGAAAAAATCGATCTATGACAAGATTCGTGCAAATTAAACTTGTACAAATGTAAATTGAAATGCCCACGTTTTGTTTGTACCTTAAGTAACAAATTAAATTTGTACAAATGTAGAATTCCACGTTATTATTTTGAGTAACAAAATTAGAGGGGTTAATAAGAAAGTAAGCATAAAGACGATTATTTGAGGAGAATGGAATGTCAAATTAGAAATCAAAGAAATTCACAAAGAAAAAAAGGTCGATCTATATACCCTTAATCATTGTTATTCTTAATAAAATTTTAATGCAGCAGTGCAACATAAATTTTAAAAGTGCACAAATGACCATTAAACTAATTTCAAGAGAACCCGATTTTTATATATATATATATATATTTTAACAAATTTCAATGAAAACTTTAACATCTTATTTTAACAAAGGAATAACATTATTATTGACTAATATTTAAATGGAAAATATGTTAATATGAAAGTAATGGATACAAAATATTTCAATGTAAAGTAGTTTTATTATTTATTGATTTTTTTTTTCATTAATAAAAATAATTCAAGATCACATCTCGATTAGATTTTAGTGATTTTATAGCCTTGTTGGATTGCAAATAAAACTGACCAGTACATTTACAAAATATTTTTACAACAAAAAAAAATGGGTGGGTTTATTGGTTCTTCAAATTATTCCTTAAAAGTTTAATGTTACATAAACAAAGTAAACCAATATGTGTCATGTAAGAAAAATCAAGTAATAAATTAATTATCCTGAAATTATAACGGAACAAAATTTGGCAGATTTATGCTGTTAAGCCATATATTATTAAAAAGTTATTAACGAGCAATAGCTTCTTTTATGGCAATATTATTATAAATCACTGCCATGCTGCTTACATTTCTTGATATCATCATAATCTATTTTAGTGTAATCTAAATAATAATTTGTTATTATTTATTATTTTTTTTTATTTTTTAAGAAAAACATTCATAAAGTCATCATTAAACCTATAGTCAACCAGATAATGCTGACAACCTTCTGTTAGGTGTTGACTTTGACTATTAGTTAAATTATATATTTTTTTTTGTTTCACCTTTATAGATGATAATTGAGAGATTTAGAATTTAGGGTTCACAATTTTCATGTAATGTTTTTAATTGAAATAAGTAAAATTATTTATTTGCACTGTTGCTTCTCACGATCTGTGATGAAATAATTTTAAAAATATTGTATACTATTTATGGTTCCATTTACCCAAGATATTTTAGTATATAGATATTTTTACTATATATTCTTACTATATAGATATTTTACTATATATTCTTACTATATAGATATTTTACTATAAAAAATCATGGTACGACCAGTTTTTAGATAGGAGATAAGAACTTGTATAGCAAAATTAATGGCTTAGTTAATACTAGTGGAAGAACTATTACACAAACTTCCATTCTCTATAAATACTGAATAATTTCTTTCCCAAAAATTAATGACAATTGTGGAAGTCCATTAATGCAAATAAATCTTATGATTACCATCTTGACTATTAATTATATTAATTATATTATCTATATTAAATGATATTATGGTTTATTTTTGTTTATCTTTATAGGTGATTATGAAGATTTCTCTTCCTTTAGAATTTTTAGGTTTCATAAGTTTCATATAATGTCTTTAATTGAATTAAATAAAATTATTGTCTTTAATTGAATTAAATAAAATTATTGTCTTTAATTGAATTAAATAAAATTATTTTATTTGTTTTGTTGCAGTGAATACTTCTCATGATTAAAAATATTGCATATCATTTATTCCATTTATACAAGATTTTAATATGAAAAATATTTTAATTATTTTTATAATAGATGCAAACTTTATCCGTGTTGTCAGATGAGAACTTTAGGTTTGGGTTGAATACAAGCACCCTGAGATACTCCACTTGGTGTATTTGATTTTGTCAAAGTGATTTGTTATTGATAGGATATAAGTAGTAGAACAAAATTTATAAAGAGAAATTGTAAATACAAGTGGAAAAACTATTGTACAAATTTCCTTTCTCTATAAATAATGCTCCTCACCTCAATATGAAGATCCAAAATGATCATCAGTATTATTATTAATTACTTATTAACCATAAAGGTTTTTTACTTTCTTGATTTGAAACCAGATTTTATTATTCTATTTATTTAAATTTCATCCTGAAAAATAGCAAAATTATATATAAATTCAGGCTATTGAATAAATAACAAATAACTTTGCCTAAGGCATGATGATTATTTTAAATAAAACTAACTTTGATTGGTAAATTCACAGCTATACAGCCATATGACATATGTTTCTTTTGCTTTTCTTTTCCAATTTGGAAATAAAAATTTTGTTGTACAAAATAAGAGAATAGAATTAATAATTGAGAATTCTCTAAACTTACTACTAATGTAATGTTATTTAATTTTTTATATTGAATTCATATTATAAGTGATAGTTTTAAAATTCTTAATAATTATTCAACCAAGAACTTTGAATTAAAAAAAAAATCACATCATTACAAATAATTTTTGTTTGTTTTTATTATAGGATTTCATCTTTAATTAATAAGGAGTTGAGATTTATGGTTTACTAAATAATTGTTTATATTAATAATGAAATTGTACCTTTTTTAGTTTTTGAAGCCAACACTTCCAGCACCAACTGTAGTGTTTTCCATCCATTTCTAGTGAACTTCTAATAGGAATCAATGTTTCCTTTTTTTTATCTCACATTTATTGTAATTTTTAAATTTCTATGATTTATATGCTTTAATTTAGTTACTATTATTTTTATTTTTTAAGAAAAACATTTATAAAAGTAATTTAACAAAATGAATTGTTTCCAATTAGTAAAAAGATAATTTGTTTGTCACCATTAAACCTGCAGCCAAACAACTACAAGCTGATGATGGCCTGATGTTGATATATAGATTGTACAAAGAACAAATTTTTTATAATAATAAATGCATATATATAATATTATATTATTAAAGCATTTGAATATAATAAACCAACTGATATCTACAAAATTGTTACAATTGGTTTTATTAGATATTAACTTGACTATTAGTTAAATTATCTATTTTTTTTAGTTTATTTTTATAGGTAATAATTTTAGGTTCCTTGTTGCAGTGAGATACTTCTCATGATAAAATATTGTATCTTATTATACTTCTGTAATACTTTTGTTTTTTTACTATAGACATTTTACTATATTTTTATTAAACAGATAATTCACATATGACCATTTTTTGATAGGTAGAAATTGTTATGTGAAAATACAAGTTGAAGAACTATTACAAAATTTCCAATGCTCCTCACCTCAATATGGTGATGGTTTCCAAGATAATCATAGGTATTATCAATATATTAGAGTATCTGCTAAAATTATATAAACTTATACTATTAGAATTAAATCAAAGGTTTTTTACTTTTTTGATTTGAAATCAGTTTTTATTATTCTTTTTATTTAAATTTCATCTTAAAAATAGCAAAAGTATATATATATGGTTTTTCCAAATGTATTAGACATAGCTTTACAGATGATTTTTAAATAAAATCAACTATAATTGTCTTTGGTCAAGTTTCTAATTATATTATATATGCTATTTCACTTGCTTTCCAAAAAAAAGAGAATGGAATCAATTGTTAGAAGTTCTTTGAACCTACTACTAATGTAATATTATTTATACTATTATGTTGAATTAATATTCTAAGTGATAGTAAATTCTTATTAATGATTCAATCAAGGACTTTTTAAATTAAGAAAAAAATTGCAATATGATAATGATTTTTGTTTTTATCTTTTAAGAAAAAACATTCATAAAGGTCAGATTTTTTAATTTAATGAAAATGAATTGTGGAAAGGTAATTTGGTTGTAACCTGTAGTCAAGCAGCAACAAATTGATGATATATTACACATATATAATATTATATTAATTAAAGAAAAAATTCATAAAGGTCAGATTATTTAATTTAATGAAATGAATTGTAATTGTTGTCACCATTAAACCTATAGTTAAATAACAACAAACTGATTATGCTAATATATAGATTGTTCAAATACATATACAGTATATAATATTACATTATAAAAGCATTTGAATATGATAAGCCAACTACTATCCAAAAGATTGTTACAATCAGTTTACTAGGTATTGACTTGAACATTAGTTAAATTATCTATTTTAGTGAGATACTTCTCATGATGGAATAATTTAAAAATATTATATACCACTTATGATTACATTTATACAAGATATTTTAATATAAAAATATCTTACTATAATGATATTTTGATCATTTAGATAGTAGGAAGTCAAAATTTATAAGAGAATTATCTTGTGAAAATACAAGTGAAGAACTATTACACAAACTTTCTTTCTCTATAAATAATGTGCCTCAATATAGTTTTGAGATAATCATTGCTATTATAACCTTTTGAATAACAGGATCAAGAAACTATTCTTATCAGATTTATTGATTTTACTAACTATTAAAATATCTGCTGAAATTATATAAATTTAATACAATTAAATTAAAGATTTTTTACTTTTTTGATTTGAAATCAAATTTTTATTATTATTTTTATTAAATTTCATCTTGAAAATAACAAAAGTATATATATTTCTAACTGTTGATTATTTTTGATTAATTTCTAATTATTTGTTGTATAAAACAAAGGAATAGAATAAATTGTTGAGAATTCTCTAAACTTAATACTAATGCAATGTTATTTATACAATTTGGATTCATATTTTAAGTGATAGTTTTAAAAACCCTAATAACAACTAAACTGAGAGTTGTTGAATAAAGAAAATAAATTAATTTTTGTTTAAATTCGATTATTTCTATAAATTTTTATCTTGTATCTTTATATCATGAGTTTGGATAATCAAGATATTATGGTTTACTAAATATTATTAATTATGAAATCATTTTCCATCTATTTAGTAAAGGAATCAACATTTGAAATTATTTCATGAGGAAAAATGTTTAAAAGTTAGTTCTTTTCCAACTATCTCTTTGGGCTAATTTTACTTATTGGACTACTTTATTATTTACATATATTATATTTTTTTTTTTTAAATTGAAGTTATAAATTTATAAAAAAGATTCTCTCATTATATGATATAGATAAATAGGTATTAAAGACTGTTGATAATCTTTTCCTTTGTTATTGTTGATTCCATATCCATGAACATGTGAAAACCATTATCAAAATTTAATAATATATATATATTAATTTATAATATTTATATAAGTTCTTGTTTATTATCAGGCGGTAGGTTGTGGGTTCATCTTATATGAGTTAGTCTGAATCTCATCTTTTCAAACAAACATTAGAATAAGTTGTGTATTTTGTATTATGTAATCTTATGTAATGTAAAAAACTCTCTTTTTCTAATTAATAAATTTGAGGCAAGACCTCACTGGAACAAAAAAAAAAAATAAGTTCTTGTTTATTATATTTATATGAGTTATTTCATCATCTATTATATAATTATATCATCAAAAAATGTTAGAATGTTAAAAAAAGTAAATAAGTTTTTTAAATATAGATTTATTTTTTATTTGAAATAAAATTTCTTCTATTTTCATTGAAAGTAATTGTACATGTACAATTTGTTATAGAGAGAGGGGTTAAACTTAAAAATACTAAGAATTTTATCAAAATACAAATAATATTATAATTTAAATCTCTTTTATTCAAATTCTAAAAGACTTTTTGTGTAAATATTAAATTTGAATCATAATATTTGTCTTTACAAAGAGAAACATTGATTTATAAATTAATAAAATATTAAATAAAATCTATAAAATGTTACTCTCTACTTTTGTAATTAAAAGATTATGTTGTCTTTTTTTATTGTAAGCATATTATAATATTATTGCATAGAAATTTGTTTAAGATAGAAGAATAGATAATAAATATATTTAAATTCTTTATTAATATTATTTAAGGTCCATTACAATAATTTATTATAATATAATTTATACTATCTGGTAGAAGTGATGGTACTATTTCTGTTTTATTTTTGAAAGTTATAAAGTATTGATTAAATTAATTTATCCAAATCATTTATTATTTATTTCAGTATTAAAATTTTGATATATCATTAACCATGATTTTTAGTTTATTTAAATAAGTTTTTAGAAAGATGTCTAACTTTATTTCAAATTCAAGGTTAATTATTTTATTATTATTATTTAGCTACTAACTTTTAGGTATAGGGTATTTTACAATGTGCCTCACTTCAAAGAGACAATATCCAATTTTTAAATTCTTTATATTATAAAATATTTAAGTCTTACTTTTAATTTATTTTAACTTAGTCAATTGTATATATGTTTTAAATTGGTAAATTCCTTTGTCAGAATTTTTGATCTTTATTTATTTATTTTTTTTTAACTTTAATAAAAGATAATTTATTGAAATCTATTTTTTACAAGTTGCAGATATCTATATTTTTATATATACATTTTTATTAACTATCATTATACTATTTTAAATATTTAATTATTTTATTGATTAAATATCAATTTATTTTTTAAACTAAATTAAATTAAAAAAAAAAAGAAATAGTTTCAAAAAAAATATTTATATGTATGGTTTTTTTACTATTATTAGATTATTACAGCATAATAGTTTAAGTCATTAATGGAATTTTGAGTGAATAAAACATCATGACTGAGTCACAATGAATCAAGCATTTCAAAAAATAATAAAGTTAACTTTATATAAATTTAGAAAAATAAAATTATAAATTTTTTACAAATTAAAAATCAAAGGAATAAGAGAATAAGATAAAATAAAAATAAATAAAATAAAAAGAAATATGAAAATTTGTTATAGTTCAATTAACTATATATAAGTAAATTTTTGTTTTTATTTCTACTTATATCTGCTCAATATATATTTTAAAATCAAATTAATTGCATTAAGGTAAAAACATATTAATATAGAACTAATTTACAAATAATTACAAAGTTTATATAAAAATAAATATATCTTCATTAAAATTAAATGAATAATGTACAGAAAAAATAAAATAAATTTATTAACTTTAAAATATGAGAGGAAAATTACAATCCATAACATTTTCATAGTCTGTGAATCCTTAGAATAGTTCATGAAGTTTTTGGACAGTTCAATAAATCAGAACCACTTGCATACATTTTAAAAGAAATATTATGTGCTAAAGCCATAATTAGACAGACTTTGAACATAGTAAAAACAAAAAATAATGTTGATATTGAAAATTTTCTTGATGAACAAGATGGATATCACATACCTCCTAGGGCTGTTGACATGCCTAAAACTTTTATAACTCTGGAACTTAATAATAAAAGTAAAATAAATAGCATTGGCATACATATAGTAGGTTTTTATATAAATTTAAATTTTATATTAAAAGTATTTAAAAAAAAATCGATACAAATTATTAGTTAGATAAATCAATTATATTATTGTTACTATAATCATTATTTGAATAAACCCAAACTACTTAGAAACTATAGAATATTAAACCTGATACAAATTCAAAAAAAAAGAAGAATAAACAAATTTCCATAGAAATTCATAGAAGTTAGAAGAATTTTTATACAATTAATTATTACTTCAAAATACCAATCTGAAAAAAAGGAAGAGAGATTTAAAACAATTCAGAAAAGTTGAAGTTTATTGTTACATACTTATTATATATGTGATGCAAATAAACTTGACTTACAATACATAGCCATAAATTTTTCAAAAAAATAAATAAATAAGTTCTACTAACCAATCAGATAAATCTATGATCCGGAAGTACAATAACCACTTACCTTTTCAAAGAAATGAGGAGGACAGATCAAGAAACATTATATAATAATATCTTTGTAGAAATAATCCAAAAAAAAGCCAGATCTGGGATTTCTGTAAATGAATAATCTAAAATTACTATATCTTTCTATGAGAAGCTTGTATTCCAGCATGAACAATGAATTTTGGCAAAACAAATCTTTTACAATAGTATCATCTTTTCCTTTGAGAAGGTATAAAATATCTCCCATTTTCAAACTCTGAGTGGGATCCGTCTAAGATCTGCAGAAAATCATATGATAAAATTGATATAGTAAATTACGTTCGAAGTACAAGTTGCTTATAGAAATGGGTTCCCTTATAGAAAACATTCATTATGGTCACTTCTCATATTTTTGGTGGGAATTTTCTAATCACAAATCCAATTTCCAAAACTAGAGGTTTAAATGGACAAAAGTTTTATAAAACAATACAAATTTTTAATAAAAATAAATATCAGTATATTTATATCCAAGTGGCAATTCTTGGAAATACATAAAAAAATTATGATAATAATATAATTTAGAAACATTTTAAGATTATGGTTTTAATAAATGCATGATTTTTCCGTCGGTCTTGTTCACACCTTGATATTGGTTACACGATGGATCGGATTGGATTATTAATAAATTTCATAAGACTCACATCGATTCTAAATCTATGTTTAACTTCTGATAAGAAAGATTTTTTTCTTTTAATATTATTTTTATATTTATCATTTTCTTCTTTAAATATTTTTCGTTTGGTATGTGACGATAAAGATGAATTTATTATTGATGAATGTGATTGTTGGATGTGATCTTTGCAAACAGAACAGAATTGGATTGATATTTCGATTCTGCCAATCAGATGCGAATCTCAAATTTCATTTAAATTAATTAAATTAATTCTATATGGAAATGTATGGAACAAGGATCGGATAATTAAATTAACCATAGAGTTAATTATTTTTCCAAATAGTCTTGATAGCGTAGCTAAAATTCCTATTTCTGTTAGTTTTATTATAAATACAAATGCTTCATTAAAATATATTCTTCACTTCACCTTATTAAATGAAGGTAAAATAATATTTTATACTTGGTAAATTGTTATTCCACGTAAATAACTTATGTGCAAATAGTTAGAATACGAAATTACATACAGAATCAACGCCTCATGAACCGAACCCTATACGAAAATAAGTGTATTGAAACCTTTATGACCAGTTTTCAACCTAATTATAAATCAAATCTTCGTATTGTGTTCATTTACTGATTATTTTTAAAAAAAGTTGATTGATTGATTTATTCAATATGTACCTGTACCATATTTGAAAATTTGATATTATTGAAAATGGAATCGTGTGATCATTAGTTTATGAAACCGAAAAACTTAAAATTACTTAAATTACTTAAATTACTTATAGTTTATCCCCGATTAAACGTCGGTGTTACGCTTTTAAAATTTAATATAAAGGCAGCTTTTTTTTTTTGATCTAAAAAAATTAAAATAAAATAAAAATGTTCATCGTCTATGGAGTTTACTTTTCTCTCTTCTACGCTTTATATTACATCATTAAGAAATTTTTCATTATTTCACCTGAACTTCGTCAAATTCCCTCTCTTCCTTTAATTCAATCTATCCAAGTAAATTTAAAATGTTATATAGCAAGAGAACCCGTACTCCACGCAATTAGAAATTATTTAAATGAGTCAGTTAATAAGAAGGGGATAATTAAAGTAATTATTTTTTTAAATTGCATAATCGCTTGATTATTACTATTATATTTAATATTATTTATTATGATATTTCTTAATAAATAAAGAGTTTTGATATATTATTTGGAGAATGGGTAATCATTGTTTCAAATCCTGAATTAATGAAAGAAGTTTTTCAAAGAGCAGGTAAAGCAAATAATAATGAAATACCAATTTGAACTTTAATTTGTTTTCTATCCTAATTCTAATATGCCTCACACACACACATATATATATATATACATAAACATTTCTTATATTTACAAAGACGCGTTTCAAAAACAGGATCGATATGTAAGTATCGTTGTATTTTAAGTTACATCAAATAATTATAATAAATAATAATTTTATTTATTTAAAAAACTAGGAACGAAAAGTTTCAGAAGCAGAACTTAAATTTATTGGACATGATAATATTTTATTTGAAGTTAGAGAGGTATTTAATAGTTTCTTTATTTTTATTTTACATTTATTAACGCTTATTTACGCTTATCTACGCTTATATATATATTCTTTCTTGTATTCTCTCTTATATATATATTTATATTTATATTTATATATAGGCACATTTAAGACATCGAAGAGTATCAAATCCAGCATTCTCTCATAGTTGGCCACCAGAATTATTTGGTAATTTGGCCATAGAATTGTTTGAAGTAATGGATAAAGCATTTGAAAAAAGTCCTACTTTAAATATTTTTGATTTTACTAAGAGGTACATATATTTATTAATTTTCATATAATATAATTTATTTATTTTATTTATTTATTTATTTATTTAAAATATTATATATTTATGAATTACTAAACTTGAATATAATAGTTTTACTTTAGACGCACTTGGTTTAGCTGCATTTGGTTATAACTTTAAAGTAATTCAAAAAACTGGGAGTGAATTAGAAAAAGCTTATCTTATGGCAGTTGAAGGAATATCCGATATGAGATACGTACTCTTTCCTATTCTGGAAAAAATTCCTGGATTTAGACGTCCTGAACTTATGAATCAAATTGATTATTTAAATGATGTTATTCTTGATATTATAAAAGAACGAAAACAAATTTTGAAATTTAAAAAAGTAAATAATGATAATGACGATGATGATGACTATGACGGACCTAGAGATTTACTTTATTATATGTTAAAAGCCGAAGAAACCCAAGATAATTTAAAATCACGATTAACTACCGAAGAATTATTAAATGATATGAAAATATTTTTGGTAGCGGGACATGATACAACAGCAATAGCTTTAGCAGCTGCAATTTATTTTTTAGGAATGAATCAAGAATGTCAAGAAAAAGCTCGAGAAGAAGCTATTAGAATTATGGGAGATGAAAAGAAAAATATTATACCAAATTCTGAACAAATTAAAGAATTGAAATATATCAATATGGTAATTAAAGAAACTTTGAGAATTCATCCACCAGCTCCTATAGCCGGTTTTCGAAAAGCCCAGAAAGATACGAGATTAGGCGAATATGCAATAAAGAAAGGTAAATTATTGTATATTATATATTATTTTTATTCTTTATTTTATTCTTTATTCTTTACACTACACACATCACATTATATGTAGGTACAACATTGATACCATATATTTACTCTTCACATCATACTGAAAAATTATGGGAAGAGCCGGATAAATTTAAACCAGAAAGATTTGCCAATGAAAAAGATACAGCTAATAAGTATCTTCCATTTGGTGGTGGAAATCGAATTTGTGTTGGGATGAATTTTTCATATGCTGAACAAAAAGTTTTCTTGACTATGCTCGGTAAGTTATGTATTTGTATATTTATCATTATTAATATTATTAATTAATAATATTTTAATTCGTTTTCTTTGGTCTTTTAGTTCGAAAATATTCATGGAAAATTACCAAATCGAATATACATAAAGATAAATTACAAGTTATACCAACTTTATTTGCTTTGGCAGTTCCAAAAAATTTGGAAATCGATTTTGAACGAAGATTTTAAAATATTTACTGTTAAGATTTCTATTACATCACATGTATTAGGCTGACTTTTTTTATATTTCTATAAACAAATTAAAGTAGTAAAATATATGCGCGTAAGATGTTAAATATTTAAATAAATAAAGAATGCATTTATTATAGATAAAAGAGTGTGAAAGATTAGGAGCAAATGCATCCTAAAATTTTTACCACTAATTATAGCTAGTTCTACGAATAGTGAAAATTGATCACTCACATGATCTGGTCACATTTTCATCCAATAATATAACGTCACGCTACAATTTTTATAACACCATTAAAAATATTAAAAACGGGTCATAAATTCCACTAATAATACGCCAACATCTATTCTGGATAAGAGTAAAGGAGGATAGCGTTGTCTAATCCTTAAATGTTAAAAGAAATCATTAAATAATTTATCAGAAATTTATTGATTTGATTAAATAATTAGTAGATAATTTATTTAAATAAATAATTCGACATTTTTGACTTGACTATCTTACGATTAAATCATTCGTATAATTCATCGATCCTTGTCCTGACAATTTTTATACAATTTTCAATTTGATTAATTTTTCTAAAATTTCTTGATCAAATTCATGAAGTACAAATTTATTTATTTTTTTTTTTAATTAAAAAAAAAAAAATAAACTTCTACCTTACATACTATAGGCGAACAGAAAATGCCTTATATGCCCAGAATGCAATATTTTATTATGCTAAGTGGGTTGATAGAAGGTGTGTCGCATGATAAAGATAAAGATCTTGCTTTTAAAATATGTGACCAAAATTCCATTTCATGCTTCTAAATTAATTACACAAATAATCATGCAATGTTGGGATGCTCGAATTACACATCGACCCACTTTTGAAGTATTAGGGAAAGAATTGAAGAAATACTGGGAAGATTATCGTGAAAAAAAAACAATAACTGATACACACCCATATCACCCACCCATGTGCAATTTATACTAGTTGGCTTCTCAATTTTTCAAATCTTCCAAACCTAAAAAATGAAGAAAATTTGAGAAAAAAACTTGAAGAAAATTTGAAAAAAAAACTTGAAGAATTAACAAACTCTAGTAAGTATCAATTATAATTCATAATTAATTATTTATATTTAATTATTTGTTTTTATCAGGATATGTGACAAATCACGATTTTTGCAAATCAGGCCGGCCGAACTAATTTACTTTAATTTATTCCAATAAAACACCAACAATTATAACAAATCTACTAATAGAAATTCTTTTTCCGAAAAGGAAATGAAATAGGTGGCAATTAATTCTTCGATTAAAATGATTATTTATCATATTAATAATGTGATATACCATTAAGTATTTTTTTACAAGTCATGAATTCAGGAATTTAGTATTTGATATTTATTATTCGTTATTAATTTTTAAATTCATTAAAAAAATCTCGGGATGAAAGGTAGATCTGATCATTGGTCTATTTTTTGCTTTGATATTAAAATTTGTTTTCTTTTATATAGAGGAAATGCCAAAGTGAATTCTACACTAGATATGACATGTTAGGTTACTATAAGAGTACAACGGTTCTAAAATTGGTAAATTATTTTATAAGGAAGTTGCTAGATATCTTCATGCTTTCATCTATCAATATACGGTAAAAGTGTTATTATTGATACACTTGTGATTATTTTTTAAAATTCGAAAGTGAGATAATATGCGATCAGTGTTATCTACGAGAGTTTTTAATTCTGGATTATTTTCACCACATTTATTATAACAGGCTTTGCAGTATCATAGTTTATTGGTGAAACCACTTTTTTACTTGTTAAAATGATACCTAAAAGAACAAAAAAACCGATTATCACACGTTTATTTTGCACTACATTGATAATTGATTCATATTTATTAGATTTGATACTAATTAAAGTTAGAGATAAAAAAAAAAGTGCTCACAAATTGAAAGAATGATAACCATTTAGTCATTCAAAATTCAAACGTTAAAAACTTTAATGTTACAATTATTTCGAAAATATATGCATATACAAATGTGCTAGCTTTCCCATAGAGGTGTACTAGTTCGATTTGTATTAAGAACAAATTAATCGCATTTTTGTTAATTTGACGCAAAATGGATTAATTGCGCATAAAAAAAAAGAAGGTTGAGCCGATACTCAGAAGCAGGCATTGTGAAAAATTATGGAGATAATATTTTTCATTATTTAGTTATTGATTAATGTTAACAGTCAGCCGTAAGTCACTAATTGAAATTTTGTGTAACCAGGCGAAGCGGTCTGCGCAGAACAATGTATTACTAACATACTTTCTCTTGTGCGCAATATCTTAAAACACAGCAAGACAGGCAATCAGTCGATCTAAACCTGCTTGCTAACACTCACAAACAATGCAATTACGTGTAATAATCTGAAGGTACGATGAGCAAGTGGAGTAAAAGTATCTTCACTAGCTGTTTCGTACACTGCCGAAATTTAACAGACTTTTGAAGTAACTTGTCGAGAAATATAGAAAAGTTTATTAAAATATTTATTAGAATTTATTAAAAGAATAGATCAATAGAGATATATTACTGTGTTGGCGTATCTTATCCCTATTGCTATTCCGATACACGAAATTATTATTAAGGTTTATAATGCAGACAGGGTTTATATTTTTTTTTAATTTAAGGTAAGCAAATTTGCTATGACAAAAATTAAAATTGATCTACTGTAAATCAATTTTGTCATGATTATTTTTTTAAAAATTATTTTGCAAAGCAGAATTATTTTTCAAATTGATTTTTAAGTTTTTATAACAAACTTTGCAAAGTTGAAAAAAAAAATTCTAGGACAGGACTTGTATATATATCTGAATCAATTATAAGCGATCTACAACTATGGTTTTGTTTTCCCATTTGGTAATCTATGAAAGATAAAATAATACTATTTATAAATGATATATATATATGAAAAATACTATATAAATAAAGCTATTTATAATTCCTATAAGTATTAATAATTAAATATCCATTTGGTAATCTATGAAAGATAAAATAATACTATTTATAAATGATATATATATATATGAGAAATACTATATAAATAAAGCTATTTATAATTCCTATAAGTATTAATAATTAAATATTAATGTTATATTTTTATCATTAGATTAAGGATTTGCAATTTTACTGCGCCTAATGTAACTATTACTGTGGCTAATAATTGTGTTATCAAGTTATTACTGCTCACCACGTGATCATTTGGTTTTTATAAATTCTTTTTTATCATTTGATTAAGTTTTCTTAGTACTGCTTTCTGCAGTTACCATCAATTGATTATGATTATTTTCTCCCGTGACATCATAACTTAGTTTAGACTACCTTTATTCAAATTTAGAATGAATTCACCATTTAGAATCGAGTAGCCAAGTTCAAATATTGTGGTAGATCGTTTAAATGACAAGAAAATCAAAAAGTACTAAATAAAAACAATAATCACATCTTCGAAATTTGACTTAATACTTTTGTTGTATCATCAGATTTACTTCTTCAGAAACTACTTCTACTTCTGCATATAAAGAGCTAATAACTTTTGAAGTAATTTCATAATGTTGATGTCTTAATATCTATTTCTTCAATTGTATTTATTATTGTTGTTGTTGTTGTATAATGATTTTTATCATTAATGATGATTATGAATTTGTATGATTTCACCATTATGACTATTATTACCGTTATTTTTACCATTATTACGATAATTACGTGTGGTGGTTCCTGTGATAGATGGCCAATAACAGTTTAAATAATACTACCATATTTCGTAACTGGGAAATAATTGACGCTAAATTATTAAATATTATTGATTTAATATTAGTTAAGGATAATTATAACAAAATAACGATATAATAAATAATCATGAAATAATGAAATAATGAAAAATAATGATAAAGAAATAAATAATAATAATAACAAAAAAAAAAAAAGGATACATAAAGTCCTCTTTTTATTACTACTATGATTACTTTTGTCAACCATTTATATTTACTTATATCATCCTGTACAGCACTCAAATTACTTCATTGCTGTTGTTCGCGACTTTGCTGACATTATCGAACTCCAATTTGACAATTTTTCATTTCTTTCCAACATTGCCAGGTACTCAATCCGATATAATAAAATTTAAGATATTAATCTCCGGCTTCTTGAATCGAAATTGGAACATTAGAAGTTAATTCTGAAAATGGAAATACAAATGGTTGACCGTTGATCGATTTGAAATTGTTGTTTCCGTGATTTAGGTGTACTGCCATCGGTATTATTATATTCCATTTAGATAATTGGTGAAAAAAGGATTTTATTATATAGAATTAAATATACCATTCCATGATTATAGAATAAATAAAATAATAAATAATATAAATAAATAAAGTTCAGTAACTACCTTTAATTTCACCACATTTTTTAAATTCTTTATATCAATTAATTCTCCAAGACCGACTGGTTAAAAACAACTTTCCACAAATAATAGGAGTAACTTTGATATGTCAGATTATTATATCCAAATATTATAACGAGTCGCGTATACAAAGAATAATAATTCACCTATTCACCTTTTGAAGGGATGACCCTTTAGCATTTTTTTCTTTTTCTCTTAGTGAAGCGATTAGATCAAAGAGAAGTACGTTATTGATGAGTTTAAGTCAGCTATATTATCATTAATTGGGTGTTATCATTAATTTATTATCGTAATAAATAATTAAATAAAAAATGAAAATAATAATCGATAATCAATAAAATACCATACCAAAAAGATTCGTCACCTCGAAGTACTTTATAAAATTTTAAATATAATCCAATTCCATATATATTGTCGTTCTGTTGTATTATTCGGACGACTAAATTATTAAAGAATATAACTAATAATAAATAATAATATATAATATAAATAATAATATTTTACAATGATGACATAACTAATAACGTAATGATACATGAAATAATATAATAAAAATAACATGATAGTAATATAATATAAGATATCTACAATAATAATGTACTCGTCATGCTAATTTAAAGCTTGAAAATATGGTAATAAAGCTCCACACTTTCTTAATCATTTATTATTTTCTTTTATCCATTCTAATTGTTCTTCGGGATTTGTTAATTCTCCAAATGTTCTTAATTAAAAAATTATTATTATTGTTATTATTTGATTAATTATTTGATAATTTATTTATTATTATCATTATTATTATTATCATTATTATTATAAATTACATTTAATCATTATTTTATTATTATTTTACTATTAATATTATCGAACCTTGAACGATATACAAAAGTTTCCATCGAAGAAGAAGATCTTTTAGCGGGATCTTTTAATTCTAATGCCTCGAACAAATACTCGATATATGTTCTACAATTTGGAAATTATACTATTTATCTATGCTGAAAAATAATTCTAATTAAATTAAATTCAATATTTTTTTTTAATTACATTTTTATTTAATAAATTATATATAATAATAATACACTACATACATTATATTAAAAATATATACACTCATCAAACCATTCTTCAAAGTTTTTTCATTTTCCAAACATTGAGAAATTTCAAATAACAATAAAATTCATCAATTTCTTTATAAACGTTATTCCTATCGGCATAGATGAAATTCTTTTGATAATGTAATGGTAATTAATATCGTAATTAATTAATTAATAAATTATAGTTAACGCAATGATATTTAATGAATGTACCTTTTGTTTATTAGGAAATTGCTTTACAAAATTTTTTTCAGCTGATGTAAAGTTAACGAATCATTAGTTGTTGTTTTCTACGTTGTGTTGATTTTGTGTAGAAGAATCTTAAATAAATTCAATTAATTATTTATAATTAAATTAATAATTAATAGAATAAATTGAAATAATAGTAATACATTCTATAACATTCTATAACATTATATTAAAATACAAGCACTTCATCAAACTATTCCTTAAAAGTTTTTTTATTTTTTTCGACGTAACTATAAAATTCATTAATTTCTTTATAAAACGTTATCAATATCAGCATAAATTCTTTTTATTAATGGTAATTAATGTAATGTCGTAAGTAATTAATTAATTGTAGTAATTAAATATAATAAATGTACCTTTTATTAATTCTTTACAGGTTTTTCAAAGTTAACGAATTATTAGTTATTGTTTTTTCAGGTACTTGATACATTTGTAATTGGTGCCGCCGTAATCGTTGTAAACGTAGTTGCGTGATTGAAATTTGTATTGGTTGTCATTGAAGAATCTCTAATTTCAATATTAGTCTTTTTTTTTCCTTCCAAAAAATAATATTGTAATATTTTAACAATATTTTGGAATGACAAAAAAGGTTTAAATTTGCGTATATGCTGGGTTTAAGAGTATGGGGTTATTAAAATGATAATTAATTATATAATTGTTGAACGCTACACGAATGCCAAAGAATGACAATTTTATTTTTTATTTTATAAAAATTTTTTTTTTTATATTACGATACATATATTTATTTTCAATCAGATAGAGTCACACACAGAACACCTGCAACGGAACCCGTAAGTCGTCTCGAGAAGTTGACGTGTTTGCGTAGTGTTACCAACTACTGATGAGATACTAAGGTCATTCCCCATCTTGTAATTATTAAATATTTGATCTCCTTTTTTATATTACAGATAGGATCGTACCGAACGAAGATCTAGATACCTCTTCCGAAAGACAAGCATTTGGATCACAATGATGGTTGAAAAGAGAGATAGTGGGGTACATTTGTCCTGGTCCTGTCATAGGGTTTAACAAATTACAATTGGGTTTGGTCTTCCTATAAATTGTTAAATAGATCCATGGTTCGTATCATAAATCAAAAACAGGAATTTCCAATAATTTCATTAATTCAAAGTAGAAGTAGATAGCAATAGGGCCATGCCGGAACCATGAAGTCGAATGTTGGAAGGTAAAAAGGTGCTTGATCTCTTCAATGTCCGAGGGACCAATATCTCGTTGTTTAGCAATGGCAAATATTTTGAGAACAAATAGAAGAGAAGAGCCAGAGAATTTAGAATCTTTATTCACTATTTCATACTGTGAATCAAGATTTTTTCCACAGATAGCACGATAGTACAACTTTCAAACTTTATCAAAACAATCATGATTACAAAAGATTTCCAAACAATTTGATTTCGGGCAAGAGATATTTTTCGAACTAATTGGTTTGTTGCAAAATCACATTGCTGTTGATCAGGAGCGTGAACTGAAATAAAAGGTTTTTCATCAAGCAAGATGGTTCCTTTTTTTATATCCTTCGTGCCAAATTCGCGTTCTTGGGAAACATCAGGAAAACTAACTAGTGACACTTTTATCTCTTTCTAGAGATCTTGTCCAAAAGTTTCTGAACAGAAGCGAGACTCTCTTCGGTGCAATGCTCTTGACTACGAATATCCCACGGGTAAGATTCACGACTTGGAAACTTGCATATTTTTCCGATCACTATGTATCGATCTGAGCCCACACTCTTCAAAAGCGTCATATCTTGGTAATATTTTTTAGAGTATCGATCCCTTTCACGTCCCCGCATATTCCAATCAACACCTGCCATTAACAATTCGAGATAATCTCTCCAACTCTCTTGCTGCTAACTGATATTCATCACTCTTGGCCAATGCCTCCGCTTTTCTCCATCCACTTTTACAAAGTAACACCAGATCAGTATCATCATATTTGCCACTAATGATCTTTGGTACAATGAGAGAGAGGGCATTAATGGCATCAGAATATCCAAGTTTAATAAAGGTTTTTGCACGGTTTGACCATAATCGTGGGTCTTCAGATGCAACTTCGATTCCTTTAGTATATTCTTATCGTGCGGTCTCAAATTCTCCATTAACAAATGCTTTATTGCCTTTTTCTTGACAATTCATTATCTGTGTATAATGTGTATATAGAGAGTAAAATTAAAAATAGAATCTGGTTTAAATTCAAAGTTTGAACCACGTGGTTTTTTTGTTGTCCCAATTTGTAGTGTGACTTATGGGGTACTTCAAAATTTATCTTACAATAAAAAATAAAAAAATAAAACTTAGAGGTGTAGACTATGAACGCATATGACGTAGGTCATGACATATAAAAAAATGACAGATGCAGAAGTTTGCATCTACTTTAGGGTGTCTGGCTTTATAGAAAGCACTGAATTTAAATAATAAAATTTGGTAGTGGTCATTTTTTTCATGCATACAATTTATCCGTTACAATATTTTATTATAATCAAGTTAATTGAATACACAAAAAAAACAGGTGCATGCAACTAAACTTTCCAACCACGTGTCTAGAAGCATCTAAAAACTGAAAACCCAATTATACACCTCAAGTTTTGCTAAAGAAATAATTATAATAATATCCATTTTATTTTATTCATATTTTTTAAAAATAAAAGTGATTTAATCTAATTAAAATTTGGCATGAAATTTTATTTTCGCCGTATTTATTTTTGTTTTTTTTTTAAAGAATTTTATAAATTTATTACTGTATATTCGCTAGTTCAAGTGCAACAGTGAATGTTGAATGGTAAGGTAATATGTTATGCGTGATCTTTTTTTTAGCGTAGTGGCAATTACATATATATATTATAAAGAAAAGTGACTAATATTGAAATCGAGACTCTTCAACACTACGACAACGACACAACACCAATAAGTGATAATAATAATAATTAGCATAATTATTATCAATTTCTTATCAGACAAAAAAAAATGAAATTAAAGAATTCTTAAAGGAATTATCAACCACTCGCCACCAATAATAATATTAATAATATTATCACAAGTGGACAATAATGTAATACTACAAGTAATATTAAAAGTAGTTAACAATAATAATTTCAATAGCATCACCATCGCATAATAATTCAACGATTATTGATTAAATGAAAATTATAAGAACAATAATATTGGTGATGATATTACTAATGTTTTTTTCAAAATAATGATGTTATTTTCTGTATTTAACCTTTATTTTTTCACCTTATATAATATTTATATGTTTTTATACTATCAATAATTGAAAATAATAAGGAATAATAGGAAAGTTAATTTCATAAATTCTTTTAATATAATTGATCAAATTAAAAGTCAAATGGATTAAAAAAACTGATAAAGTTAAAATTAGTAATTACCGTTACATGATAATTATTTGTACTGTGGCGGTGTAAATTGGTAATCAGGTGAAATGTTACGGGGGATGACACTAGATGAACATTCAGGTGATTGTTATCCCAGGTGAAATGACCGTACGAGGATGAAGAATGAAGTACAAAGATGAAGTACAAATGATGAAGGATGATGCACAAAGGATGAAGGATGAAGTGTAAACAAAAGAGAAAGTATAAATACGACTGTTGTCAGGTGTAAGTTAAAAAAAGAAGGAAAGAGACAAGAAATTATATCAATTAATTAATTAATACTTATTATTATGGAATAATTTGAAATATTTTAATTATTATTAGATAGAAAAGTAAACTTACTTCAGGGATGGTAAAGTAGACATCCTAACACATGATAATATTTCTGTTGCTGAATTATACTTCACTTTTAAAAACTTTATATCTTATACTTTAATAAACTTATATCTTGTGTTGTAATATTGTGAAATATTATTAAATATTGTTTGATACTGTGTTAATTGCTTTT